ATGCCCAACGTTTCTTTTCTAAACAAAATGGTTGTTTATTTGTCTTTGCCTTATTATTGATTCTTAGAATTAGGCAAAGAGGGGCAGCTATAAACAATATTTTGTATTATTATTATTTTTTTATTTTTTTATTTTTTTCTTCTTTATTTATCCAGTTCAGTTTGAGAAAAAATATGAGTGCATTAAATGCACCCTTCCCAAAAGTCCAAAATCCTAGCCATCGCCACCACCGGTAACCATCTGACACCCTGCCTAACTTGGCAGCATGGATTTGGACCACCAAAAGTCCAGGCCAGTTGAAAATCTGAGATTTGAATCCTAAAAAATTCTATAAATAGAGCTCATTGCTGCACAAAAAAAAAAGCCATCAATTTTTTTAAAAAAAAGACCAGAAGCCCTGCAAAAAAATTTTTTAAAAATAAGGTTCTGCCATATTCAAAAAGAAAATTTTATTAAATAGAAACCCAAGATCAAGCAAGCCAAACACATACAAACATAAAAACAACAGCCTCTGAAAACGAGGACCAACAGCGCCAAAAAAAAATTTTGATCGAAACTTTAGACCTCGATCTACGTAGTTTAAGGCTATTTCTCGTAAAATAAAGGCTAGATCTGTGTTTAGGGGTTGAAAAAATTTTTTAGGTGATTTTAGATTTTTTATATCACCGAAGATAGCGACCGACGATTGATAGTGACAATGACAGCAACTGGCTAGCCCCTTGCATTTCACCTGAAAAAAAGAAAGTTTTTTTTTTAAGAGAAGGAAGAAATGACCAAAAAAATTTTTTAGGCCTTTTATAGAAACTGCAAGAGCCAAAATGACGTCATTTCAATAAAGACTAAAACGACGTCATTTTAGCCCCTGAGGATCAGCATGTCAACCTGTGACCTAACCCGAGGTCCGCGCACCCACCTACGACCCACTTCTTCATTTGACTTCTGATCGGTCCAGCTAAACAAGCTCAGACCAAATCAAACTGACGTCGAATGGCCCAAACCGAATCGGACCGTCCCCGAACCGTTGAACCCGAATCAACTGGACTTTTGACCAGTCCGATTCAGGTAAAAAAAATTTTTTGAATTTTTTTAGATTTTTTTGATATATTATTTTTGTTATTTTAATTTTTATTATTAATATTTATATATGTTCAAATGTTCAAATTTACTAAAATAAATTTTTTATTTTTATAATATTAATTAATAAAAATAAATGATGAAATATATAATAAAATTTTTTTATAATTTTGTTAATTTTAGAATAAATCTTATAAAATAGTAAAAAATATAGAAAAAGAAAATTTTTATCCAACGATGAGATTCAAAGATACTCCGAGTAGTGATATCTATGAAATCTCTAGATAATATTTTTTTAAATACTATCAGTGTATTGAAGTATTTATATAAAAATTTTCAATACCATAAAAATTTTTTTTTACTAATAAATTAAAAATAATAATAATATAAATGTAGAAAAAAAAATTTTATCCAATGATGGGATTCTAAAAGTATTCTGAGTACTAATGCTTTATAAAATCCCTCAGTGAAAAATTTTTTTTAAAATATTACCAGTGTATTTGAATATTTATAGAAAAACTTCAATATAATAAAACTTCCTTTTTTTCTTCAAAAATTTAAATAAAAAAAAAAGAAATCAATAAAATTTCTAAAAAAGATAATAGAATACATGCTTTAATATATCAGTATTTTGCATTACATGCATAATAAAGTTTTTGCGAAAAGTAAATTTGAGCCTCCAAAGATAAGATTTTAAGGTATTCCGAGAAGCGATGCTTAAAAAAATCTAGGTGAGAAGAAATTCCTCTAATGTTACCAACATACTGAAACATTTTAAGAATTATTTCAACAAAAGGGTTTTAATTTATTTTTTTCAAATAAAATTTGAACAATAAATATGGAACAATAATAAAAGAAAAAATCAAAATTTCAATAAACAAAGGAAATCAAGGAAATTATTTTTCAAATATCGAAAATAAGATTATTTTTATCAAAATCAATGGATAACACGTAATTAATTGGTACTGTTTTAAATAGGCATTGTGGGGATGCTAATTCTTCCCCATATGTAACTGACTCCCGAACCCAGACTGTTTCACAAACCCTAAAATTATCCTTTTAATAAATTTTAATTAATTTTAAGATTTCGTTAAAATGATATGTTTTAATAGGTGGCCAATCGCACATAACCAAAAAGATTGGTGGCGACTCCATTATTTTTTATTTCATTTTCAAATTCACCGGGTAGATACAAAACCGTTACGATAGGTAGTATTTAACAAAATTTTTTCACCTAAAGATTTCGTAGGTATCACTACTCGAAGTACCTTTGAATCTCATCGTTGGATAAAAATTTTCTTTTCTTACATTTTTATTATTTTTATTAGGTTTATTCTAAAATTAACAAAATTATCAAAAAATTTTATTATCTATTTCATCATTTATTTTTATTAATTATTATTATAAACAATAAAAATTTATTCTAGTAAATTTGAACATTTTAACATGCATAAATGTTAATAATAAAAATTTAAAATAACAAAAATAATATATAAAAAATCTATAAAAAATTCAAAAAAAAATTTTGTACCTGAATCGGACCAGTCAACGGTCCGATCAACGCTAGTCTGGTCCGATTGGTTCAGTGGTTCAAAGTCGATCTGGTTAGGGTTCAGCGGTTCGGGGACAATCCAGTTCGATCTAGGTAGGTTCAACTGGACCGGTCAGAGGCTGAGGAAGAAGTGGATTGTCAGGTCAGATGCGTGGACCCAGAGTCAGATTTTGGGCTAACACACAGATCCTTTACAGTTCAAAATGACATCGTTTTGACTGTTACTAAAATGGAGTCGTTTTGAGGTTAAGTCTTCTATATAAAAGTCACAATTTTTTTTAGCTCATTTTCCCTCCCTTCTAAAAAAAACACTATTCCCTCTCCTATTTCAGACAAAACCCGATGGGGCTAGTCGGTCGTCGTCATCGCTGTCGTTGCTGCCACCACTAGTGGTCGGTCACCATCGTCGGTGATAGAAAATTTTCTAAAATTCACCCAATACTCCTCCCAGCCTTCAGAGTTCAAATCTGAGCCTGGTTTTAAGAAAATATGCTCCAAACGATGCGATCTAGCTTTGAAGGTTCAATCGAAATTTTTTTTTGTGTTTGTGTTGTTTTTTTTTGTTTGGCACTATGGTCCTCATTTCCAAAGGCTGAGTTTTTTGTTGGATTTGTGTTTGTTTGACTTGTTTTGTCTTAGGTTTTTGTTTGACAGAATTTTTTTTTTTTTTACAAATCTGGCAAAAAATTTTTTGTTTTTGCATGGCTTTTGGTTTTTTTTAATCAATGGCCCCTTTTTTGTGTAGGCAATGAGCTCTATTTATAGAGCTTTTTGAGATTCAAATTTTAGATTTTTTGAAATTCAAATCTCATATTTTTTAAGATGCAAATCTCAGATTTTCAACTAGTCTAGACTTTTGGTGGCCGAAATTCACGCTGCCAAATTAGGCAGAGTGTCAACGACTGTCAGCAGCTAACAGTGACAGTGTTTTTGGACTTTTAAAGAGGGTGCATTTAATGCATTGATATTTTAGTCAAACCAATCAGAATCGAAAAAAAAAAAAAAGGAAAAAGAAAGAAAAAAATATAATAATAATAAAATACAAAATGGTGTTTACAATGTTTTAAATTATTAAATTTACAAAATTCAATAAAAAACACTTTTTGAAGAATCGGAAATTTAAATGCAAATAAAAAGTATTTTTGGTTAAATGTAAACCTATTATATTTGAAGTTTCAACTAAAGTAGTACTCCTTTCCGTCTCATTTAAATTATCACATGTTGGTTTTGTTTTGATAGAAATTTTCAATTTCGACTTATATTATTTTAATATGTTTTAATTAATTAAAATTTGTAAAATATATATCTAAAAATTACTTTCATTCAAACTTTCCAAAAAACATTCTTTCATATTTCTGTCAATGATAAATATAAAATAATAAGAAGTAAAAGTTCGAAATCTTTTACTAATGAAAAGTTAAAAAAAAAAGAAATGCGACAGGTTTATTGTAACGAAACAAGTAACTTCTTAGCTATCTTTTCATATTTCTACAAAAATGTGATTTTATTTTCTTGTTATTTGCTTTTACTCTATAACAAATTTTGACTAATATGCAATATAAGTAGAATGTAACAAACTAAAATCAAAATCTTAAATTTTCTTTTCTCCTATCATTCCTTGATATATAGGATGACAAAATACTTATATTTTATTAGAAAAATCTTAATAGGTGTCTAGTGATATTGGTAAGGGTGATATTTAAAGGCAAAAAATTGCAATTAAAGTGATGTTTCTTGTTAAATATTGTGAAATCAATGCATTAAATGCAAAAAAAAATTTCTGAAATAGTATTTTAGTTATTTATAATTAGTGATTATAAGAACTTATTAGTCGGGAGCATATTATCTATAATTATTATAATATAATTAATTAATTATAATTTAGAATTATGTAAAATTTATCATAATTTTATATGAAATTTATATTTATAAGTGGTGGATCTACATAGTTCTTTATTAAGAGTAGATAATTTTAAGATTACAATAAAAAATTATAAATAAAATACTCCGGTTGATTGGAGTTTATTCGATCATAGAATTGTTCTTTCAAATGGGTTAGACTTTTATTTATTTATTTATTTTTTTTTTTGGCAGAACAAATGTGGCTTGTACTTGGCCCAAGCTCTATATGATTGCCTTTGACAAACGGCCAAGTGCGGCCAAACCATGCCCATTTCCATGGCAGCCCATCAAACAAAAAACATTTCATTTTCATCACTCTGACATCAATTTGTATCACGATCAACAACAATCAATGAGATTCACTGAAGTTACATTAGAGTGCCCACCAAAAAGGGTAGTAGTGGGGAAGAACTTCCATTATTACTCCTTTCATACAACTTTAACTCTAACATCAAGACAAGATAACATCAAGAGGAAGAAAAAAGTACTAAAGAAATGAATAAAAGGGATTACAAAGGATTTGACAGATACCAAGAACAAAATGTGAACATTACAAAGTCACAAGGTCACTTTTGATGGTAATTTCTACCAGAGTTGCTTGAGGCTGTTTTGAAGAGCAGGAGTTGAATACACAGCTTGCCATCCTTCCTGTGTAGGGTGAACTGTATCCCAAAAGAATTTTGATTTAGGATTTGAGCAAAGGGTATACTTCTTTTCCCCATGTTCGTCTACACTTCCACATGAAAATCCAGCACTCACTCCAACACAGCATGGCTCAAATGGATTCTCAAATGTTGGAGTACTTACTGCAAAAGACATATTACATGTTGAAAAAGTTCAACTAAAAAAAAAAATACGAGTGAAGAGCAATTTATATATTATTATCACCTTGATGTTCTTCTTTCTGATTGAAAACGTTCCAAAAGGCATTATAAATGTCAAGAACAAAGAAAGAGGTGCTGTTGGTTTCTTTGTTCAAATTGTTCACAGCTTGAAGCAAGAGCTGGTTGTGGAGATCAACAAGGGTGTTTTCAGTTCCGTTGCACTGTTCAAATGAGAATCTTGCGGTGCTTTGAGGGAGGCACCCCAACGGTTGCAGGGCACTCACGGCTATTTTTCTCACTCCCAAGTCGTGGATCCGTTTCAGGTTCACCGTCAGTTGATTCACAACGCTTCCAATGAAGGCCGGAAAACCCTGTCAGGAACAATATATCTTTCAGCAAATTTCTCATTTCAAACCCCCCATTTCATTGCTTTTTACAATAGTTATTAAGAATAATTTAGTGAAAGAGATGGATTTGGAAGCCTAGATTCACACTTTTTAATCAGTTTAGTTACTTGGATTCCTTGCCATAAACAAATAACTATAAGGATTTTTTTTTCTGGTTATGTGTTAAAGCTGGTGACATTATGGCCTAAGCTCTGATGTAAGAGCAGCTGAGCAGGTAAACTCATCAATCACCCGATCTCAAAAACCCTTAATTGTTTTTTCTTTTTTCTTTGTATGCATTCTTTAAATCATAAGAACAAGACAAAGAAACCTGGATATCTTTGAGATCCACCTGACCACACATAATACTGAGACACCACAAAGAACAAATATAATTATGACTCAATGCTTTATAATTGCTAATGTAGAGTTAAAATTTTGTACCAACGAGCACGACAACACCTATGAAAGCACGACAGTCAAATGTTTTACAATTATTTACTCCAGCAAGCTTTGGACGGACCCAAGTTCACTGCAACACAGATATTTAGCTTGGACTAGAGGTACAAGATTCACGGGTTCGCTAAAGCGAAAATGAAGGGTCAGTTTCAGTTGGGTGGCTCAGTTTCTCTTTATAACCAAGCAAGAAAATTATGAACAGCCCAAATTGCTACTAGAAGGAATTGAGCTTGGTCTACAATTAGACGACAATTTGATAAGCGGGTTACCTCCTAAATATCTTTAAATGGCAGACAACTATATATTGGCCCCTTGCATTAAAAAAAAAAAAAAAAAAAAAACCATATATTTGGATCATTATGTGGTAGAGAAACTGTAATTTCAAGTGGGTTCAACAGGTTCAAGGCTTCAAGCATATCATCAATTATATAGTAAGATTCATGACAAGGCATAATAAGATTTAGAGGGACCATTAATTTCAAAGTCTAATAATTGAACCATATTGAATGTGCCTGTCACCGTCTATGGATAAAACACTGACTTTTTTTAAAAAAATTTTAATGAATCAACAATGGATATACATGTAAAGTGATTAGAAATAAGTAAATGTTTTTATTACCGCAGCAGAGCCGTTCCTGGCGATGTAAGTTGAGTAGTCATTGCCTGCAAGACTGACAAGTGCCACAGAAGTTTTCAAGCCCCTCTTGGTGTAGACCGAGTCATTGAGAAGCTGCTCCAAGAAATCGATCTGGGTGGTCATGTTTGGCTCCGCAACCGTCGTGTCAAAAACACCTGTCCCTCCATAAGCAAAGTTCAATCCATACTTCAGCCGACCGGCCAGTTCTTTCCTCCATCTGTATGGAATTGGTGTCTTGATTCCCAAGTACCCGGCTGCTTGTCGAAAAACAAGGAAATCATATATATTTTTTGTAATAAAAAAATAATGACTATATAAATAAGAAAGGTTATTATTAGTAAATTCCGAAGGTTAGCTGTTCTTGCTGGTGTCACTAAAGTGCACATGCTGATAGAGATTATTAATTAGTAATAAAATGGCTGTTGTTGGAAAGCATTAATAGTAAAGTTGATGGGATTAGAAACTAAATACTATATAGAAAAGATAAAGTTTCTTTTAGATTTGATTAACATAAAAAAATGTAAGTAAACTTTGTTTCTGGAAAAGAAATGCTGCCACAGCTCATTTTTGGTCACGAGTTTTGTTTGTAACTTTGGATGGAATTTGAGGTTTTCATACACTGTCGGTGCTAAACCCAAATGAAACAAAGGATAAAGGTATAATCATTACATTCATCCGCCTTTCTCAAGTGATGAAGTTAATCAAAGTGGAATAAGAAAGAATGATTAATAAGGGCATAGAAGCACAGAAAAGAATGATTAATGTTAAATAATGGTGAAGAAACAAAAGCGTACAAAACTTCAAATCACGTGAAAAAGGCGGAACAAGAAGAAAAGACGATAATGATCTGACACAGAATAGAAAGAGGAAATTGCAAGAAGAAAAAATAATAGATGAGCCCCAATAATGTAAAATAAACGGGCAGGAAAGTGATGGACAGAAGCAGGTCAGGGCCTCAGGCTCAGCTCGGTTTAAGTAATTATTATCACAAGAGAAAAAGTGGCAAGCATGGAATGAAGAGGAACCCACCACTGAATTCAATAGTATTTTACAAGAAGAAAAGCAAACCCATTACTTGTACCAAAAAGAAAGAGATAAAGCTAAAGCTCGCAAAGAAAAAACACGCTAATTTTTTATCAGAAAAGGAGAGAAAGAGAGTGGTATACCAATGTAATCAGTCAAGACACGACCATCAGAGAAACGGCCAGCAGGTTTACCAGGAAATGTAATTCCATAAGGAAATTTCCAGGAACTTGCCAAATCTTTCCTGTTGTTGCCTGTATCAGCATAGGAATCTCCAAACACAAACAGCTTCTTGGGTCTGAAAGCAAAGGGTGACACCCTTGAACCTTCAACAACTTGTTGGTGACCTAGAACAATTCAATACACATTAAACAAAGATTAAAATCCCTTCCTGGATATAGCCGTGCAATGAAGTAGAGAGAAATGGAGTCTGTTTTCTGTTACCTAAGAAAAGAGAAATGAAGAAGAAACAGAACAAGGAGAAGAGTAAGTTTTGGATGTCCATGAAAATCAAGAAAGGATCGAACTGTTAAAACTTTGCAAAGAGAGACGGAAGGGTCTTGATTGCTAAATAGCTTAAGCGGGAAGGATATCTTTGGAAGAAAACGGAGAATCTCAACACCTTATATGGTGGGACGTAAAGCTTTCTTTTGTTTTTTTTTTTTTTAAGGAGGACTTAAAGGCTTTCATTGTCAAAGTGATCGTCAATATAAATATAGGGAAATAATTAAGCAGACATACGTTTATTAAAAAAAAAGAGGAAAGTTTTTCTCCGAAATTTGTAAGAGTTTATATTTAATATATTATCATTTATATATTATTAATAAATTAAATAATAATAATTTATTAATAAAATAAATCAAATAATAATTATTTATTAATGAATAAATATTTTAAAAAATTTTAATTTATATATATATTTTATTTTAAAAATTAATATTTATTTATTAATAAAATATTTTAATTTATTGATAGTATATAAAATTTATATTAATAATGTATTAAAAATATATATTTATTTTTTAGTCTTACGAGTGCAAAACTGAAGCATGAGGTTGAGTTTCATGACCAACACAACTAATAAAATTATTCAAAAAAAACTTCATGAATAATTTGTTTATAATTAAAATTATTGAAATTAAATTCTAATCATTAAATTAAGAGTTAAAAGCTTAGTCAATTTAAAAAAAAATTCAAAATACTAATAATGTGTAATTGTAATACCAAATCAATGGGAAGATGATAAAGAAAAATATAATTAGCCTCCATTAATGAATTTTGTATTATGTTTCCTGCGTTGCTTCAGCACAAGATTTTATTATACATTATAGGGCAATATTTCTGATTTGATTTGGTAATTATTATTATCCTTCAATGATCAATAATAAAGTTTACAAAATCCAACTCTCCTAATTAATATGGAATCGTCTTGAGAAAATTTATTCTACACTTAATTTTTATGTTTCTTATTTGTCCCATCCAATTTAACATTTTAATCTTATAGACTCAATCTCATTAAAATTATCACGTAACTTATGACATGATTTAGTCTACCATCATAAAATTTTAACTCATAATAAAAAACAAAACTTTTAAATATTTCAATTGCATAAATTTAATTTTTTTTATTAATAAATTTGATTTTAGTTAGAATTTTATAATTGTGAAATGGAGCCAAATTTAAGTTTGAATCTTAAAATGATCTGATTAAAATTTATTAATGGTGTAATCCAAGAACACATATAATAAAAATGTAAAATGTGCAATTAATTGTTTTTTTTTTTACCTTCAACTAGAGTTTTGTAAAGTGTAAGAGGGAAATTTACGATGAAATAACCTTTCAAGTAAATCTGATAATTCGTATATTCGTATTATGTAAAATATTAAAATTTATATATTTATATCGTAATTTAAATAAAAATTATATGTCATAATTCGTACTAATACGAAGATATAAAATATAAATTTTTTATTTTATTAAATATATATATAATTATTATTATAATTTTAAATTATATTATTTTTATATTTTATTTTCGTATTACATCGATGTCATGTTTTAAATTATCATATCTACTCCTAAGCACGTGCAATATGCTCTATGTAGAATAAATGAAGTTTTAATCAATTTAAAATTGCCTGCTCTATTGCAAATGTAGAATTCCAAGCACCAAATCAAAACCAGGGACAAGAAGGGAAATACAACTATTTTATTAGTAACGATTATCAAGAGGAGTTTTAAATAAAAGGGTCAGAGTTATACACCAATTCAACAACACGAAGCCCAGGGCCAAAGCTTTAGCAACACTCCAAACACGTGTTCGTGGCTAAATACTAGACGTTTAATTTTTTTTTCTGTTTTCATTTCCTTAGACTGTTCCGCAAGTCAATGAAATTTAACGTAATGGGAAAGTACCTTAAAAGAGAAAAAATCAACTTGCTCGAAATTTCCCAAACAAAGAATTGGCACTAGCAAATTGAGCAAAATCAACGTTTTATGATGCAAATTGAGCTTTGTCATTGGACTTGGTCAGGATTCAGGAATCCAATCCCTCATCAGATGAGATCTATCATATATGCATACTTGCAGGAGTACTCAAGTGGGAATATTTAAGTGGCAAGTAGTAACACCTGTTCGTGGCTAAATACTAGACGTTTAATTTTTTTTTTCATTTTCATTTCCTTAGACTTCTCCGCAAGTCAATGAAATTTAACGTAATGGGAAAGTACCTTAAAAGAGAAAAAATCAACTTGCTCGAAATTTCCCAAACAAAGAATTGGCACTAGCAAATTGAGCAAAATCAACGTTTTATGATGCAATTTGAGCTTTGTCATTGGACTTGGTCAGGATTCAGGAATCCAATACCTCATCAGATGAGATCTATCATATATGCACACTTGCAGGAGTACTCAAGTGGGAATATTTAAGTGGCAAGTAGTATCCTTTTAGCACATTTAATCAAATTAAGTCAAGTAATTAAACTCTTGGTCTTTGATCAAAGAGATAGGAACAGTGAAACCAATTTTAAGTAGGTTTTTTGGGTGCAATTATTATCACAATTATAGTTGCACAACTAGTTATGATGACTCGGCTTTATTTTTTTTTAACTCATTTGTTTTATATAATCATTTTAAGAGATAATATTTGATAAATTTTAATTTTGAATCCTAACATTTACAATTTTTTTGTTTGAATTATGATTCTTGTAAAAAAAAAAAAAATGAAAGACCCTCTTTAACTATTTCTGGGCTAAGTTGGTTGGGCTAGCTACAGGAACCACTTTGCTCTTCCCATGTCCATCCTATTTGAAGATGGAAACTAAATTCTGAAACGCGCAAACATGACCTATGATTACATTTTGCCAATGTTTGGAGCCCAAATGCTCAGTTAGTGGTTTGGTTTGTTGAACTAATTGTTTAAACATACCAAAACCAATACATAATTGTTTAATCTGGTTTCTTGAACTTGGATTGAAAATTCGAAATTGGTTTAGAACATTTTTTGTAGGTTGGGAAGGGAGGTTCGAACACCATTTTTTAAGTAAGAAAATCGTGCATCAATCAACTAAACCACTAGAGAATCGGGATGCAATTGATTTACAACTTTTCAAAACAGAATTTCCATTAAATTTAGGATACTACGGTGGCATATTCAGCACATGATTACGTCTTCTGTTAGCTTTGTTGGATTTATTATTCTTTAAAGCTATTGAAATGTGTTCTTTTGCAATGTCATGTATTCTTTTCAACGCGCTAAGTATTCATTTTTTAGAAAGGGAAATTTATCTGTAAAACATGCATTTTTCCAAAACTGCATACAAAAATTTGATTTTCTCCTTAATTGTGGATTATTATGATAATGACAGTTTTTTATTAGAGAAAATTAGTTTTTCAAGTGATAATGATAGTTTTTAAACACTCAGAATGGGTTGTTCTAATTTTCCATTTAATTGCCAAAGACCTAATAATATATTATTAAACCAACTCAAATGGTTACTTCACCACTCTTAAGAGTTGTCTCTAACACTTGCAAGATTGGGGTTCTCTCACGAATATATCAAAAACCAAATTATAGCAATCACTTGCTCTCTCCATATGATATTTTTCATGGCCTTGACATAATATAGACAATAACTCTCTCTCTCTCTTTTTGGTGGGCAAAATATCTCAATTGAGCAAAGCAGGATTCTACTGATAATTAATTAATTTCTACCTGTTTTTGAAAGGAGTAATCTTGATGACAAGGCCAGGGAAAACATCATCAGGGTCATGTATGTGAGGATTCTCTTCAACAATAAAAGGATCCCCACATTTTTCGCCGATAGTCTGCAAAGTCTCCCCTTCTCCAACCACGTATATTTCATCGCATGGCTTGTTGCTCTTCTGCTGCAGCAGTAGCACCTCCTCACCCCTGTAATATTCCCTTTCACTCGATTCTTCACAGCAGCTCAATGCCAGCATCACTGCCATGAACAAAGCACAGTTCCAAGAAACCTTATCTGCCATTGCACTTGTTGAAGAAACTCGCCCCATCTTCCTTTTTCTTCTTTCCACTTCCAGGGACCAGGGTTCTTGATGAAATGATATTCTGGTGATAATTTTGGAGTTCTAAATAAGATTGAGAAAATGGGTTCGTTTTCTACAGGTGGTTAGTTTGAGACGGTTCTTTCATTGCGGTAGTTGCCTGCGTTAAGGGAAAGAAATACATAAAGAAGTTTGCAAACAAGAGTTGGTTTAACTGCTTTTATTAAATGGGCTTTTGTCAGTGGTCACTTCTTTTGACGTTGCTTCTTTCTATATGCTTTTTGATTGGTTTGTGCTTATGGATTGAACATAAGTTGACTGTAAGCCTGATCAGCTTTGAATTTTGCTTTGAATCTGTGATTTGATTCATGAATCATAAATGCTAAGGTTGACCAGGGCCAGCTAGAGCCTAGCAGCTGTATCTAATAGATGAGGAGGTCGGTCTCGTACAGTTGAAATCCCCAGTGGCTTTAGAGGTTGATACGTTTTATTTGGGGAGGGATTTTTCATATTAATGCAGCAAAGATTAATTAGAGAAGGAAACTATATGGGGTCCAGCTGATCTTTATTTGCATGAAACTGAGCCTTCTTATTTTTTATTTGATGTAAACCTTTGTAACGATGAACATTAGTAGAAAGACCCCAACATTAACATTAAACATGAATGATGAAGCATCATTTACAGTATTTCTGATTAGTTGAGGGTCGTCGAAGTGAATGTTTTTCCAATAAAGAAACGATCCACCAATATTAGGACAATTATTAGCCTTTTAAACCCAAATAAGGGTAGCAAGAGGAGAATAAATTACTAGGAGGGGCCTTTTGGCAGAAAGCAAAAGCAATCCAATCTTTGGGCCATGTTTCAGTATGTCAAGCGGTGTTTCCAGCTTTTATGGTTTCATCAACAGTTTTTTAATATAAATAAGGACTTCATCCACATTGACTGTCCAAGCGACGGATACTGGGGAATAGCCTGTCCATGGGTTGCTACCATTCCATCTGCACCGAATTATGGCATGAATATTAGCAACAATAAAGGCAAATCTAATTGCATTCAATAATAAGCATGCTTGTCTTAGAATACTTTTTTAATCCTTGATCCAACAATGTATGCCCCATGCATATGCCCTGCGTCTCAACCCTCACAACCCCTTTCTTGTATGTGAAGAGATCTGGCCGAACTAGAGCCATGAAACTGACAGGGTCATGGAGGAATATCCCTGGTACCAAAATTTTCAGTTATTCCCTTAAAATAAGACTCAATAAAATTTAGAAGGTGAAGAGAATAAATCAAATTTAGTTCACAATAATTTAAATTTGCAAAAGATTTACCGTATACACCATCTGACTTCACATGCCAATCTCTGTAGAACTTGCACATGTCACTTAGCAGCTGAGCATACCTGCCCTTTGATTGCTTCAATTCGAGGAGGTCATAGTCTAACAGATAAAACATAATGATCTTTGTCAAGAAGACTACCCCTAATAAACAGGCAAAGAAGCTCGTCTGCTAAGAGAAATGACAATTAAGTTCCTACCTGTCATTTTGACTTGGGTTGTAATGTTTATCCCAACAACAACAATATTTGCTCCCGAAGTAAACACAACATCAGCTGCTTCAGGGTCTCCATGAATCTGTAGTCAGACAAATGAATTCAGAATGGTTTCTTAATAGATGTTCAACTACTAAACTTTGATCAAGTAAAAACTAATGTTCTTTGCTGAACAGCCTGTTGCAACTCACACTTATAATGAACAATGGGAGAACATGGTCATGATGAGACGGGAAAGACGAGAAATTGATTTCAACAAGCAAAAGATATTAAACAAGTTTTCTACTGAAAGGAAGTTTCAATGAAAAAGGAGCTCAACTTTAGGAAGACTTTCAATGAAACAGGAACTCAACTTCTTGTAGTTTCTCCTTACAAACGAAAAAATTACTATCCCAAAGGAAATTTTTCAAAAAGAAGGATTTTATGTTACTTACTGTAAGAAAATAAAATTAGGAGCTTTCGTACTTACATTTGCTTCTGCAGCAGGATTCACATTTCCTAATGCAAAGAATGAGCCACCAAGTACAACTATATTTTTCACCTTGCTAGCAAATGAAGAGTCCCTTTTGATTGCCTGGATTCATAACCATGTTTAGGCACATAGTTGTGAAGCCTATAATCATAACAACAATGGAGGAAATTGATAACAAGAATGCAAAGACATACCAATGCCAAGTTTGTCAGTGGTCCAAGTGCAAGTACGGATACTTCACCAGGATATTCAGAGACCTTTTCAACTAAAAATTCAGAAGCACTTCTATCAGATTTCTTTGTTTTAGGAGGAGGTCGAAATATATTCCCCAGTCCATCAGAGCCATGAACAAAGTCAGCAACACGTGGCCTCCCACCCTTTTCAAGAGAAAAAATGGTTAGGCTACAGTAAATACAGAAGATCACAATGCTGAATGCCCAAAAAAGAAGAATATCAAAGCACAATAAATCAGAGAAATCCACAAAAGCCATTTCAACTGGCAATAGCTAGACGATTGCCACATGTTCCACACAAAAGAAAGAAATGCAAGAAAAGAAAATGAAGAGGAAAAACAGTTTTGGAACATCATACACATGTTGAAAGATAGTAAAAATGGGACAAGGGATAGTAAATAGCAAATACTAGAAACAGAAGCAAGTTAACAATAACAGTAAGGTCCTTTCCTTGAACGTAAAATGAAGTATTTTCCAAGCACTTACAATCTAATTTGGACAATGGATGAAGAATGTGCTAGGGAATACCTAAACATTTACCTTAAGAGGTTCAGGGCTGCCTTCTGCTACAGGAATACCTGGACACCCTGCGATCTCACACTATCTTTTTGGACCTCAAAAAGAGGAATTGATCATGAACATATTCCAGAAACATATGAAAACAACAAATAAGAATTTCGAATCTACAAACAAGCACGTACCAGAAGTAATGCATTACGAGTGGCATGTTCCGTAGTCACATTACCAAATACAGTCGTCAAACCTAAGATCTCCAACTCCGGATGTTGGAATGCCATTAAGATCGCCATGCTATCATCTGTTAGTCAAATAAAAGCAAATTCATAAGGATCTTCACCTATCATTTCAATCTTACATAGAGTAGAGAAATCTCAAACAAATGTTCTAAACTCACACACACCCTCATAACTAATCGTGGCAATTAATCAACCTCGCATTCCGTCCCCAACTGCCCTCCCCATTGTTGTCCAAGTGCCACTTTCACTCCTTTACATAGCTCACCGTTTGAAAAATCTATCAAAAAACTGAAACTTTCCTATACAGATCTCACTACACCCGTCTAAATTGAATACTAATTCACCAGAAGAACTTACAGGCTAGATTTTCAACCCTCAGCAATTTACCACGAACTCGGAAAACGGCTTTAACTTTTTTTTTTTTACCTGTAAGCTCAAGAATCATGCTTCTTGCCAAAGCAAAATAATTAATTTCTTTCTTATTTGTTTTCTTAACGAAATTTTGAACTTTTTCACCAATTTTTACGGCTTTTATCAAAATAGAATTGCAAAGAAAAAGATAAAACGAAAAAAAAGATTATTTCTAATTTCATTATTATTCTACTTTATGCAACTAAACATGCTAAAAAAGAAAATTAAAAAAAAGGGAGAGAAACTGACCAATCCCGGGATCGGTATCAATAATGAGCTTGTTCCTGATGGCATGTGAACCAAAATGTCGTCGTTTCCGCCATTAACGACAATCCCATGGTGAGAAATTTTCTTTATTTCACAATCCATATTCAAACACAAAAATCAAGAGCTCAATCTCCAGAAAACTACTCAATATTCATACAGAGTAGTAGAAATTATATCCAACAATTTAAAATTAATTTAATGAATATGGATGTGAATAAAAAAAATAAATATAAAATTGGGATTTGTCGTGGACAAAGAGGAGACCGCGGCCAACGAAATAAAAGAGTCGGTGAAGAAGATATACTTCTGATTCCCTCGAAAGTGTTTTTATTTTGAAGTTGGGTGGAGAATGCTGACGTCAGGGTCTTTCTTTGAGAAACTGCGAATGGAGGTTTGACAGGTGGATAAATGTGAGTGGATCCAAATCTTGTGCCGATTCTTTGCTTTGCTGGCTGTTTCTGATCTGACAAAAAAGGTTGTACTTAAAAAAAAAATTAGGTGAATGATTTCACAAAAAAAAAAAGATAACCTTTTTTAATACGTATATATAAGCATTATTATTATTGTTGTTTAACTTTTTAAAACCTTAAGTTTGTCAATATTTTTTAAATGTGGGGTAACGTATATTACTTTGTCAAAAAGTTGATAGATTTTTTTTGGCTAAAAAAATCGGGTTTCAGTCATAAAAATTTGATATTAAATTTATTTTTTATCGAATAATATCAAATCATTGACTATTTTTAAAATATAAATGAATTAATTAATTGGATTAAATTTTAAAGTTTGGTTATTATTCTGGATATATACAAATTGAATTTATTTTGTCAACCATGATTAAGACCACCAATTTGAAAGTGAAATGCGAGAAGATAAGGCCAAAATAAATAGTTTCATAGAAGAGAAAGAAGTCTAATTTTGTACAACCAAAGAATTATATTACTACAAAATGATAAAAACAGGAAACTATCTTTGTCAATGAAAATAATTTTCATAGTTTAAATCGTAAGGCCATTCCGTCGATATCAACGTTATGACACTATTTGACAGCAACAAAGGATAAAAATATTAAATTAATATTATGATTGATTCAATCGATTAAAATTTATTTTATTTAATAAAAAAATTTTGAATTTAAATTTTATTGATGATTATTTATTTAAATTATTTAAAATATATGATTTATAATCACTTATCTTAAATTATTAGGTACATAACATCTTATCTTGACATTTAAAATTGAATAATTTATTTACCTCAAATTTTATATTAAAAAAATTAATATTTGATAAATTATTATTAATAGCATATTATACGTATTTGTCTCATTCAAAAGAAATTAAAAAAAACCTATAATACTATAATTTTATTTTTTTTCTTTCCAAAGAAAAAAAGGCCGACGGATGGTAATGGAAAATACATATAAATACCAAAATACAAACGGCAAAATTTGTAACTAAATTATAAAAAAATATTTATTTTGTTATAATTGAATGGATGTTGAAACATGGGCGTACTTAGAGCTGAATAACCCGCAACGTAGCACATTGCAACGGATACTCAGAAGAGACTAACTTTAAAAAAAAAATAAATGGGATACGGCGTATGGTCCGATGATCAGGGCAGTCAGCATAATTGAATATCCTCAGCACATGCTTGAGTCCACATCCGAACCTGTCTACTCCTTACACCAATTTCCCCCCTATCCGACAACATACTCAAATCAAAACTATTCTAAATCTTCTTTTTTTTGTTGAATTTTATTTCTAATAATTGCAACAAATTAATTACTTATATTAAACTCCACAAGCACAATTAGATTCAACTACAATTTTTAACCCTTTGCTTTTACCCAAGATTCTTTCATTTCCAAAAACTAGAGATACAATCACGGTTTGGTTTTTGGCAAATTTTCTGCAAATATCTTACTGCATGCCCTGCCCGCCGTGTCACAATTGAAAAAGCAGCCATCGCTTTGCCTGTGCAATTAGACTAGATGCTGAGATAATGAACATTGGTGATGAATACAATATCCGACGGCACCAACTTGTTAAATTTTAAAAATCCTCAACGTAGCTCCGAGGTGGCATTGGAGATGTATGTGCACATAGAATCTTCAAAATTCATCTATGCGCATCCTAGGTAGAGCAAAAAAGTTTGGTTCTTCTGCAGCGTTGATATTATTTACAGGCAATTGATCCTGCATAAAATGAGAAAAATGGACATCAAGAAAAAGGAAACCTCTACAATTAAGTTTGAAAAATGCAACAGACTGCCAGCATATAGCAATCAGTTCATGCTCATTAGTCATGACACTGCATGACAGGTTCCTCTCTCTTTGATAAAACATGACTGGTATTTCAAATCCAACCTTTCTCGGCAAGCAAAATAAGACTGGCTCATTACATTCCCAGGAGCACCTCCTGTTATATAACATATGTGACCTAAAACAAACCTATAATATTACAAACTATATAGGAACACAAAAAAAAAAAAACTTGGTTGAATTGCTGAAACAGTATTTACCAATAAATAATATTCTCTACAATTTAACAGTTCATTCCATGGTTTTAATGTAGCTAAGGATCAATAGAGACCTAAGTCAAGCACCAGTCCTATATTAAATTAAATGCTGATTGCTGAGTATATGTATCTTATGTAGACCCGATCGATAATTGCAATACCTTCAATGGAAAATAGTTTCTGACATGCAACACTGTCAAAAAAGGAGCCTCATGTTACTTCTCGTACTTTAACATTTGGTGAGCCAAAGATATTAGCAGCTGCTTTTCCAAGGTTACCCTTTGCATTTACAGCAGCTTGACCAACAAAGTGCTTAGCATTGGCTGCCTCACTCACTAAGATTGATTTCTTTATCTGCCAAAGAGAAACACATATCAGATATACAACAAGAAGAAAGTTCACTAGAAAGCCACGATCTCCTTTTGATTAAAAAATGCAAGCCTACCCATAGCTTAACATAATGTCAAGGGCATATTATCTCTTTCTTCACAAACTCATAAATGTAAAAAATACAAAACACCAATACATTTGAATTAATTCATATGGCATGAAATGGGAAATATAAAGAGGCCAAAACTTACCACTGCAAGCCGCTCTTTGTGAACCTCATTTGTAAGCTGCAAAACAAAGAGAACCACAATGAAAATTCATAAATCTAAATCTGCATACAATTAGATTCCCCTTGCAAACAGCTGCACATCCAACATCACCCTTATGGATAAAAGAGAATAATTTACCAGTTTCCTGTAAGTCTTAATCTCATCACCACTAAATCCCGGAAGAGTCATATTCCAGTTTCTTTCTGTATCAAGCCATAAAACAATAAAAGTTGGCGTACTAGATGTTGGAAGGGGAAAAACAAACCAAAGAGGATAATTTACAGAATAACTAACCAAGATGAAGGAGAATGTCTTTCGCTTCCAATGTATCTGATTTTCTATGCTTAGCCAGTGAGCAACCAAATGTCGTGATCTGTTGAAGGAAAAATAGAAAAACAAAAAGAAAAAGGATTGGATGATGATCATATCAGCTATCAGCAGTTTATAGAATGAAGTAGAAAGTGCAATATTAAGTGGCATACTACCCAAGTAAAATGCAGCGAGAAAAACCCAAGACAACAACAGAGGAAAAAAAAATTCAAAACATCCTAATTGAACAAGGCAACTCTCCCAACATAATTGCACTTTTCATACCAACCTCTGACAGAGAAAGCCTGGAATATAGGGTCCTATTTAGGTGTGGAATGAAACTTATTGTTCTTAAAATTTTGAAGACATTCTACAAAATTTATCAAAGTCCATGTTTAACTTCAATTAGCTGATCAACCTATTCAATGCAACAAATCAGAAAGGACAAGAAGAAAAATATTTAGGTTCAGTTCACATTTTCCCTTGTTAAAAGGATAAAATAAAACTAATAAGCCACTTTTACATTGTTTTCACATAGAGAAAAATATGCATAATCCTGGTGAAATAAAATTTAAGAAATGTATTAATAAGAAAATCATAGTTGAAAAGTCCTTATGTATTTTGGTATCTGCCCAACCCAAGTGTATGTATAATGAATTCTTTGAATATAAGTTCAAAAACTCACAGAATCCACAAAGTCTTCTGCAATATCCACAAGAATATCTTCAACTTCGGGATCCAACTTCTCAGATGGATCAATCTGCACAAGAGAAAACCAAGTCATATTTAGAGATAGAGAAGCATGGAACGCCATAAGAACTCTATAAGAACCAAACACACACACACACACACACACACATTGCAGTCTGGATGTGAAAAGACCTGCCTTGAAATAATCATTTAAAATATGGCTAGAGAAAATTGATATTCTGAAAATTCCATTCATCGAAACAAAATGCCGAACATCCATATGTCATTAGAATCCTCAATGATTGATGATCATGAATTTTTATATTGGTCATGGACAGAGACAAATTACTAATATAAAAATGTTGAAATGGAATAACACAATATCCCTTGACTACAAATCAAATAAATAAAGAGAGTTTAGAGATATTAATGGGTATAACACAACATATTTGTGGAGAAGAAGAGAAAATTTGTTCAATACCATTAACACTTTTACATACAGTACATGTGAAGCTTTAGTGAATTTTAATCATTTCTTATATGGCATAAGTTGCTGAATACCTTTTTTTCACATCATATAGATTTGGTAGATATAATCTTTATTTCATATAGAATAAGTTGATATGATCTTACTATACCTCAGTATAATCCTAAGGATCAACAATGCAAAGCTAGGTCCAATATAGTTCACCTGGTTAACAAGCTCATGAATGCTTCTTTTGCTAAGAATCCTACCACCAGACTCATCAGTTTCTGTAATAGCTGCTTTATTTTGGTTCGGCGGATGGACTGTGCTTGTTTGTACCATTGCAAGAGAAGCAGGCTTTTGATTTGCAGAACCCACACCTCTTGAAACTTGTTGATGGGGCAAAGATTGTGAGGCCCTTGATTGTGAAAATTGTTGTCCGAAATGTTCCTGCTGCTGCTGTGATGGTATAGACTGTGGCACCTGAGGAGACGATACGTGCTGTTGTTGTGAAACTGTTGGCAAGGAATGATGTTGCTGATGAATATGTGACCTTTGCTGCAAGGATGGTGAGTTAATCTGCGGTCTATATGAATGGGGTGGCAGAGGAGGCTTCCCTTGGGATCCAGAAGACAGCCATGGCTGACTAGGGGATTGCGTAGTTTGTGCTGTAGTTGGTGTTGAAGAACCTGAAGAACCAACAGCTGACGCTCTCATAATGCCATGCCCTTGGAAATTCTACAAAAAGTTAAAAAGAAATAAATCAGTCACATACTACCGCTAAAATAGACATGAAACCCAAATTCACCCAGCATTTATAATTAAGATGACAACAATCTGTTAAATGGTAGACAGTAACACTTTAGCTTTTTTTAGGAAATCCTTAAATCAGCTTATTTCAACCTACCAATATGGTATTCAAACTAAGAAAAAAATTTAAAAAATAAAATAAAATAAAAGGAGAGGAAGAAAGAGACAAATTTCCAAACTCAGCTAAGATTTCGCAGACAATTCTTAAAATTCTAAAACAATAATAAGACTTCTATTGGAATATGCTGAACCTGCCATACATTGCAACCATAGCAGCAAATATAGGAAACACAAAAATCAATGTCATTTAATTCACATGCAAAAGTAAACAAATTTACAAGGCCAGTAGATAAATAAAATACATTAATCCTTTAACAGAGTACTAACTTGAATGGCAGGGGACTGGCTAGTCGGTGAAGAAGGTGGTCTAAGAGATGATTGCACAGGCCTTTGTTGATACTGAGCAGAAATTCCAGATGGCCTCATTTGAGAACTTGAAGCAATTGATGATCCAATCCCCATTCCTTGCATTGTCGGCCTTACCTATTAAAAAATCAAAACAAAAGCAAAATTTTAACATCAAAATCTTAAAAGTTGTAATTGGAAGAAAGCAAAAGCTTAAAACCCTACCTGGGAAGCATTGGAACTAGAAGCTCCGCCGAAGGAACGGCCAAAAGAACCCGAAAACGAAGTGGGTTGGGAAGGTGAAGGAGATGGAGGAGAAGGACTAGAATGCGACGAGGGAACACCTAAGGCAATGCTGCCACTCGGCTGAGAGGAAAGAGTAGGCGAAGGGATCGATGAGACGGAGGGAGAAGAGGAAGAGAAATGGGTGAAGTGGGAGGAGTCCTGTTGCCAGGGCCTCGCGAATGCGGCGGCGGTGGGTCTGGGCAGAGAAGTGGGGAGAGTTGGTTTCGGTTGCGGTGGCTGTTGGGGTGGGGATGGTGTTGGGGACGGTAAGGGTTTTGGGATTGGGGCGGGGTTAGGGGTGGTCGATGTTGAGGTCGAGGTTTGGGTTGGTTGTTGTTGAATTGGTGGCGTTAGCGGCTGCGTGGGTGTTGGTTGTGATGGTGGAGGTTGTTGTGGCTGTTGAGGTGGGTCAGTGGTGGAAGAAGGAGCATTAGGGGTTGGCTGAGGCTGTTGCAGTTGCTGTTCGTCCATGACCAGTGGCAGGTAAGGAAAGTTAAATGTCGGTTTGTGAACCGGAGCGGGGTTGTCGTATTTATCTATCTATAACATAAAAATTGTTGCTAGGATTCTTATTCATGGACAATAGCCCATTTTTGTGGACTCACTTTGGGCCAAGTTCATCTTTTTTTTTTTTGCATTATTTTTCCTTCTATACAATCTTGAAGAAGGGACTGATATTGAAATCCCAACAGAAATTAGGAATCTGCTAGACGATTGAAAAGGAATTTGATGCTTTGACGAAAAAATATTGTGTTTTGAAAGAGAATAATATGAAAAAACTGTGGTTAGTTTTTTTTTTGTACTTGTAAAATGTTTGACTGGTCAAATGACATAAAATCAATATGAATTTATAAAAAAAAATAAAAAAAAATTATAAAATATAAAATTAAGGATATGGTCATCTTTTCACTTTAAAAATAATTACTCATTTGGAAAAAACCTGTCCATTTTTTTTAAATAATACCCACTCTCTTAAATATTATTCTCTTTTAAAACACATTTTTTTCAAATCATCATTTTTTTTTTGTTTGTCCAAGTATTAACCAAACTTGTTTAAAAAAAAAAAACAAAAAAGAATTTTTTTTCTTCTGATGTATGGATTTGAACAGTTGTGATTAATTTTTAATACTAACATCATTTTTTCTTCATTCTTTTTCTTCTTTAAACGAGTTAAAGTAAATAGAAATTGAGGGGTTAAAAACAACTTAAAAAACAATCCATTTTTGCAAAGACTTATAGTCCATATGTGCCACTTCTTAGCTCTTATCAATTTATCTTTTTTTTTTTTTTTGGTTTATGTAATGTTGAATAGTTATACAATATGATTCTTTCTCATAAATTTCATTATATTTGTCTTAAAATTTGAATTCAACATCCTTTAAGAAAAATTTTAAACTCTAATCGATTATATGTTATTTTGAGAATTTATCGGCTTTTTTATTGAATATAGCATTGTTGATATTTCCATATGGAGCTACTTTTTTCCAAAATTATGTATGGAATTGTCACCAAAAAAAAGGTATTGAGCATTGTTCGAATCAACCTGCAATGTGAAAATAAAATTTTGATCGAGGGATTCATACTACTTCCACAAGGAAACCAGTGGCATTTGCTATAAAACTGCTTAACCTGTTGCTGGCGATAGAAAGGATGCAAACGACCACTGCCCACATATCAGACGTGAGCAGAGACAGATTAAACGCTGTGGCTTCGCTCAACCGCAAGTAAAATAAATACCAAAAATTAGTGGCACCATGCAACCATTGACGTTTCTTATAATAGAAGGCATTTTCCCCATCATATAGCCATAAATGTACTTGATAAGAATGGGAAGATGAGAAAGATGGTGACACTGATGGTAAAACCAAAACACTTTCCTAAATAATCTTTCATATTGTTTGAATTTCAATTATAAAACTTACCTTGAGAACGAAGGGCATGATGGAGTAGAACATAAAACTTGACAAGGTGAATCCAACAAAGGCTAGTATCTGGAAAGAAAAGACAGCAAAACAAGACATTCTGGGCTGAATAACACAGAATGTACTTGGATATGCAATAATGGAATCATCTGGGACATGATATCATCAAATGCAACGGCTAAATCACAATTCTTACAAGAATAGATTATTTAAAATATCCTTAGACCAAGTTACAGATTCCAGGCTCTTTAGCTCAAATATGGATCTAATTAGAGAAGGTTATGGAATTAAAAGTATATTTTTCAATGAATATTGAATGATAGCGAGTATGACACTTAAGGGAAGGATACAACTCAAGAAAGCTCACTAGCATCCCGAAAAGACCAATCATGGAAACCACTTCAACACGATCTTTTTTCTTGACACCAATTTAGAAATGAAAAAGAAGACAAGTTAAACGGTCAAAGAATGTAATTTTTAATGATAATAGTAGTATCAACAGTACTGGCCTTGGATACTATATTCAAGAAGAAAAAGAAAACTAATTAGATAAATAAGATTATAGATGCCCTGGTTTATCCCACTAACATAAATAAACTGCCTTTGGAGAAGGAAATGGAGTCAGAGTTCCATAGATTTACCAACCTCACCAACATTGCTCACGGAAAAGAAGAGTATGTCAGCAATGAAAAGTGCACCTCCCGCAAAAGGCTTTTAACCACCTTTAAAATGGGAATGTGACTGGGAATGATATATCATACATTGATAATGGTCAATGATCAACAAGTGCTTAGTTTAATCGATTAAAGTCATTCTTCTCGACGAAGAGATCTTAGGTTCGAGTTTTGTCGGTAATCATTTGTTGGGATCATCTCAAATGCACAACTTACAGTCACCTGTCTTAGGCTGTTAGGTATGACATATTTTGTCTTGACCTGAGAGACTGAGCAGTCTATCTACCCCGAATTTTTTTTTACCCAAAAATATAATAAAAATAATGGTCAATGGATATAAAGCTGTTGATAGCATTAAGGCTGTCTAATATTTCTCTTTGAAATTACTAAAAGTATGGGTGCAAAGAAACAAGTACCTAAGTGCAGAAAACTCTAACTACTTCTATTAATGGCATGCCAAATTACAGATTAAAGCATCCATAAAGAAACACCAGTTGAAAATAGTACTTTAAAATATTATTTATCAAGCAAATGGACAGACTTGGACTGAGAGAGCAGCGAAGAATGTCACCACCCACCGCAGTCTCAAAAGAGGAGCACTAGACCAAGACCAAGCACACAGGGAGCTGCACCAATTAACTGCCATAGAGAATATCTGGTGCCTGTGAAGATATATGTGAAAATTATTACATATAATATGGCCCAGCAGTCCAACAGTGTCACACTAGTGGTTGAGGAGAACTGGAATGCTTTATTAACTTCATAGAAGCAACAGGAAGGCTCTTCATCACGGTGATTGACAGTAACGTATAAGTATAATTCAGGTAACGTATATCCAAATTGAACCCCATCCTGCCTAGATTTTTCTATGAGAACATGCAGTTGACAAAATCAGCCGAACTTCTGAATTATCTTGGACTCTGCATATATTACTTTAAGTAAACATGATTTGCTTGTAAATTCTTACATTATTATTTTTCAGTTCTCAGCACTTACCGCTCAAATGTGATTATATATTGCCACATTAATTTCTAACCAGCTGTTAGCTATCTATCCCGATCACCCCATCTTTCATATATATATAGTTTGCAATTCTCAGCTTTCATGCCCAATAAGGCCATTCGTCACAGGCCATTTAATGCATGTGTTTTGATAGAATATGAGATGTGAGCTACTACTACTACCAAGGTAACTCCCTTGAACATCAACAAAGCCGAGGGCGAGAGACCAATACCAAGGAATCTGCAAACAGAACAGGATTCAAGTTTCATCACCAATTCTCAGCTTGAGTATTACACAAAGTTTCAATTAAGTACAACAGAATTTTAAAAAATGAAAAAGATTGATCAATGTGATATTTTAATGCATGATACCACTACCTTTCTCTTTTTCAAAATGAAATCCTCAAACAAGCCAAAAAGAAGAAATCACTTGAGATGGTCTTGTGTTTTCTACTTCCCCAAATAGAAGATTTACAATTAAAATCACTTTATATCTATCTTTTTACACAAAACTCAGCGACCAGACATATGAATGTGTAATTGTATCCATTTGATAGTGGAGTTTATAAGTGATTAGGTAGAAAATTACCCTTGTTTCTATTGGGATTTGCTTTAAATCTCATAATCTCATATTAAAAGTTAAGTGAAGTTATAAAATCACTTTATATCTATCTTTTTACACAAAACTCAGCGACCAGACATATGAATGTGTAATTGTATCCATTTGATAGTGGAGTTTATAAGTGATTAGGTATAAAATTACCCTTGTTTCTATTGGGATTTGCTTTAAATCTCATAACCTCATATTAAAAGTTAAGTGAAGTTATAAGAGTTTGAGTTTATCTTATATTTCATATTGAGAGTTTAGTAAATGTATAAAGAGTATTACTCTTATAAAAAAATATTTTGAATTTAGTTTAGTAACCTCGTATAATTAAACACGAAGAGAATAAATGTAATTGAATTTTAGATTAATTTTTAAATAAGAAATTTTTGGTGATTTTTTTCATTCTAAAGCACCGGTTTAGTTGATTTTACCAAGAGTGGCTATTAAAGAAGAAGTAAAGCTCGTAAGTGCTAAAACAAAAGAAACAACTTGACCCAGAAAAAGTCTGAACAAATTATTCAATATTACATGGCTTTTGAATCAGTTGCCCGCAGCATTCCAGTTCAATTTTTGTCAAAAAATCGTTTAAAATTTAAAAGAGTTCTCGAAATTTGGGTTAGTAAGGTTGCTGTCCTAACCCTGAAAGCATAAGAAAATGATGTTAACGTCAAAGGAAAGGATTTTAAAGCTGATTTTCTAAAGCTTGAGTACTTACTAGCTAACGTTCTTGGGTTAATATTTTGGCGGACTTTGGCAGCAGAAGAGCACGTTCCTAATAGGTTCGAGGGAAAGCTGTCTCGCCCATAGTTGAAAGTCACCGTCTTAGCACCACTTGACACCGTCGTCACTAGCAAGAACTGCATTTTGACGAGAAATTAAAGCAAGATCTTTTCAGATTTGATGATTTGCATGTTCACCTTGATACCAAGTTATTTAACACAATATGTTCATTAATAACTAGAATTTGAACCTGCTTCGTCTGGCATTATTTTTCATGATTCTGTTTAGTGATCGGATGTTAATTCACGGTTTAAGGGTTTTTTCTTCCTTCCCTTCCGTCCGGGTTCACTCCAGATAATTCTATTTTTTATTTTATTGTTTTGGTTTTTAAAATGTTAATTTGGGAATTGATCGCGTATTAGTTAATTTTGATAAAATAATTTTTCTTTTTAGTAACATTTTATTTATAATTTTTTATTACAATCATATAATTGTTTAATTATAATAAAAAATATATGAAAATTCACTACTTATAAATAATAATTTCATATAAATTTTTGATAAATCTCATATAGTTATAAATTATAATTGATTAATTATAATATAATTATTATAATTGATATGTTCTTTCTTTTGTTACTTTGATTTGGTAATTAGATATTAATTTTTGTTGGCCAACTATCTTAGTTAGATTGACAAAAAAAAATTCTTAACCCAACTCATCACCATTTGAATACATCGTTATGTTATATAATCATCCACGTTTAAAATATTAAGACTAGAAATTTATGTAAAATATATTTTTTCGTTTTTTATTTTATTTATTGACATCTTTAATCCAAATTATTCTATTTATAGACTTTAATTTTAATTATTTTTTACTAATAAAAAATGTTGATTAATATATGTAACTTTAAAGTCGTAATTGACATCTCCTATCCTTAAAATAACAAATCGGCTACCCAATTCAATCACGTTAATCAAGCCTATGCGGACAGCCAAACAAATTTTACATAGCCATGTAAATTATCAATTAAGAAATTCCATTTTTTTTTTCTTTTCACTATTGATTAATATATTGGTTGAAAGATGCCAACTTGGTGGTCCTGACCCCAGCTCAGCTGTAACATAGCAAAGCTCTAAACTTCTTCAAGACCCTCAATGATTAGGTGCCGAATGCCCAAACCATGCCACAAATCATGCACCCAACCCACCACATTCCCACCTTAGATGTTGCGTTTTATTTTAAACAAAGAAAGGAGAGATCCTTTCCACTGCTAAAAAACAATAGATATCTTCAGTGTTTTTTCAAACATTAATCTAAGGTCTAAAATTGTCGACATCACTCTCTTATTTTACATGACTAAATACATCGTATTTAATTAAACTTAATATATAAATTTATTGTATAATGAATACAAAACCAGCAGTTAGAAGAGTGAATGCCAATTTCTATAAAACACAACAACTTAGAATTAAAAAAATAATAACAAATTAAATTGATTGATAAATTTTTGCAAATTGTATTCCCTTCAAACATGCTGATAGATGCTGATACATATTTCATTATCAAGTTTTGAAAAACAACTTCAGTACATGAGATGATTTCCCCCTTACATTTTTAAAAGCAAACTTTTATTGTCAAGTTCAAAGTAAATCGAAAATTTGAATATGTACATTTAATTTTATTACAATTGTATTTTGAAATTTGAAGGATTGAAAGGTTAAAAGAGTTGCTTGAGTTTGGGGCTTGGGAGAAATAGGAAAGATTTGAGAAAGAGGATGGCAAATTTGGAATCGGAAGGGAAAGGATAAACGTATTACCTGTTAAGTTTCATTAAAGGGTATGTTTTGATCAAGTAAAATAGAGTGACGTGGATAATTCTAATCCTTAGATTAATGTTTGAAAAAAGGGTAAAAATTTTCACTATCTTTTAGCGGCGGAGAGATCCTCTCCCGACGAAATCGACCGGATAATAACCCTAACCTTTCCTGCTATTTTTTAAAAAACAAATTTTTATTCTTTAATAAAATTAATAAAGTTTTTCAGTTTTAAATTTTTTTTTTTGTTTATGTAAGAAATTATTAAATAATTAATAATTTCATTAACAACATCCCACCAATCTAATGAGAAAAAAGAATCAGAACCACTTGAGGAAAATTTTTTAATTAATAAATTTAAAACAATCAACCACACATCAGATGCCACGTGTTAACCAAACAGGTAGGACATAGGAGCAACAGCACGCGGGTGTAGTTTCAGTTTCTCTCTCTCTCCCTCTCTCTCTTTCTTTACGCATGAATTTCCGTGGCCATTTCTGATTTGCAGGCAATTGGGATAACCAAAGGGGATTGGGTGGAATCCAACTTTTGGCTTTTTACCCACCAGCCTGTCTTTTCACATATTTTCTATTTTAATTTAGTTTTTAAAAACCCAATTATAACAATAAAATTTTAAAAATTAAATAATTATTGATTATTATTACTCCTTTTTCGTTCCCTTTTTGTCGTTGCTTCCGCCTCCCCTTAAATATTCTTTCCTCTGACGCTTTCTTTCTGATAATTCTTTCCTTACATTTTCCTTTCCCAAGTGCATCTCTTTCTCTCCTTTTTAATTTATTTTATTTTTCTGCTATTTCTAATTTTAATTGTTTTTAATTTTTGTTTTAGATCTTGGATCTGATTTCAAGTAAATTAAATTTAGCAACAAATTTAGCAGATCGAGATAGATTTCGAAAAAAACGATGGCGGAGGAGCATAGATGCCAAGCGCCCGAAGGACACCGTCTTTGCGTCAATAACTGCGGATTTTTCGGAAGTCCAGCGATGATGAATCTTTGCTCTAAATGTTACAGAGATTTACGTCTTAAAGAACAACAAGGAGCTTCTTCGATCAAATCATCTATCTCTTCCTCTCATTCGTCTTCTTCAGCTATCTTCGAATCTGTTTCACAGGTTCCTCTATTGACTCTCCCGGAAGTCAACGGAGGATCGGAGGTTCCGGCTGCCGAGATTTCTCCGGCGGCTGAGCAGCGGCCACAGCAACAACCCAATCGGTGCATGATTTGCAGGAGGCGGGTCGGGTTGACCGGATTCAGGTGCAAGTGTGGGATTACGTTTTGCGGGTCCCACAGGTACCCAGAGAATCACGGATGTACGTTCGATTTCAAGAAGGTTGGGCGAGAGGAGATCGCACGTGCTAATCCGGTGGTCAAAGCAGAGAAGCTCGAGAAGATTTGAGAGGAAGATGGAAAGCCAATATGGATCTTTACTTTCGATAAGAAAAAATGGAAAATTTCAAACTCGTTAAGATCACGACACGTGTTACCGTGTGGTCCCTACCATGATGAGAAACCAATTGGGCTGGGTAAAAATATTTTCATGCTAAAAAAATAAGTCTTCTTTTTTTAAGTAATAATATTTTAATTTAAGCGTCTCTTCGGTCCTTCTCTTTTTTACTTCTCTGCATTGTAAAAAAACTTTTTTTTAAAAATAAATTTTACTCTTATCTCTTTGGGGTGAAAAAAACAAAAAGAAAAAAAGTTGGGGTGGAAATTCAATTGCGTGTTGATTCTTGGTTCTTCTGTTTTAGTTGTTGTTGTGTAACGGATGGAGCTGCAGCGGCCAATCATGAAAGCTATTTCCTTAAATGTTGTTGTCTATATTTGGAAGCAAAAATGTTCGGGTTCGGCACTTTCTTTAAAAAAAAAAAAAATTAACAACTTTCTGTCCCTTGCAATTCCATCCCTTTCATGTCATTTCAATTTTTGTGTTACATCTTTTTGATGACACAAAATAAATGCCGCTTTTTGGGTAATTCAGGAATTTTAATTCGTTAAAACGACATTTAATAGAAATGTACATGAATTTCGATTTGGTCACATTAGTAATAAAAAATTAAATTGTCAAAGTTTTTTTCCTTTTCAAATGAAAAAAGAAAACTTAAATCAAGCATTTTAGGGTTAATTAAGTAAGTCCAACAATTTGTCATCAATAAATTTATTCTATCTTTCTGAAAAATGCTATTCGAACTCTATGCATGGTTGCAGGTAACAATTTTTTTTAATCAAACTCTTATTTTTAGCAGATTTTAATGGTTTCATGCAAAATAAAAATTAAGTTAAATAAAAATAACACTTTAGGACACAATTGGATACAATAAAAAATATAAGGGTTTATTTGAGAAATTTAAGAAAGCTTGAAATTACTTTCGCATTTTAGTTTTTTATATGCAAAAAGGATAATGTACAAATTTTTAGTTATACTTGTGTAGATGATTCAAATTTATTATTAATATTTTAATTGTTTCAATTTTATCATTGTACTTCTAATTTTAGAACAAAATTATCATTATAAGTTTTGGTGTAATTAAAAAATATTTAGTAAAAAATTCTATTAGAAACTGTTTTACAAAATTAAAAAATATTTAGTAAAAATAATTTTGAGAATGATATAGCATAAAAAGAATCATGCAATTAAAATCTGAAATTTTCCTTTTATTTTATTCATTTTTATCATCATATTTCCTATTAAATATAATGTCACATAATCCAATTATTTTATTTTATTTTTATTTCATTATGACATTTTCTATTTCTTATAATACCACATTATATTTTTTAGATTGGTTTTTGACATTTTTTGCCATTTTTTAAGAAAGCTTGTAATTATAAAATAGTTTCTAACCAAAATTTATATTGAATATTTTTTAATTGTACTAAAATTTAAAGTATAATGTTTAATTTACTTCAAAACTAAAAGTATAATAATAACATTGCATTAATTAAAAGATTATTGGCAAATTTAAATCATTCACTCGCACAAGTAAACCGATAAATCAATATCCTTATCTCTAGCCAAAAATTTTAAAAAAAAAAAAATTCCTGTTTTCATATGTTAAAGGAGAAAAGAAGAATTCAACTACAAAACAACCAAATGTCAATTCATTATTAAAAGTGTCAACAATGGCAAGTTGGGATGTACGAGGCTTCTCAACTTCAACCCAAATGGGAAAACAAACGATAAGGATTGGGAAAGAGGGTTTGACAATTCAAAAAAAAAAAAAGGGGTTTTAAAACCACGGGCTGCAACAAGTCTAATCCCATGTCTCCACAGTCGTCTCTCCATCTAACAAAGGTAAGATTTGGCTAGTGAAATCAGCATTACACCATCTTCAATCAAGCTGCTCGAAATTAGCCATTTATTTTTGACATTACCTCTCTCACGAAAACAGCTAACCACTGAAGTACACAAAATATAGTTTTTTTTTTTTTTAAAAAAAAAAAAAGAAGTCAAGATTTAAGAAGAATTAGGAAATGAAAATTTGTAAATTTTGATGATCAAACTTCACTTTTGCTTATATTTGCGTCTTTTTGTTTTTAAGGAATGAATGAAAAGTCAATTATGTGACCTTATATTTTGAGAAATTGCAAGATATTTTTATATATTTCACAACCAAAATAAATTTAATAATTTAATACATGATACGTTAATACGATACGAATACGATATAAATAAAAGATGCGATGATGATACAATTTAAAATTTTAACAATGACTACATATAAGCTTAATAAAATTAAAAAATGCATTTCATGTTTTCGTGTCGCATGAATTATAACATATAAATATCATGTAAAATATGATACTAATATACGAATTTTAATATTTTACATGACACGAATATAGGAATTATCAAATCTAATCTTAGATTATAGCTCATCTTTGTTAACCTTTGAATCATCTGATCTGTCTTCTGTATTTGTCCAACATGATTCGCTTGTGGTTAAACTTTCTAGCCAAACCTCGTCCGCAACATATGCATCAGAATCATTGTTGCGGTGCCATGACCAGTGTGCTCTCGTTTCGTCTATCACCCTTAACCGACCATGTCCAAAGCTTGGCTCCCTGTAAAGCGAAAGTTCTGAAGGAGGATTCTCAAACCTGCACATAGATTATCACATCAGGGACACAATAAACATGTTCCTTGTTTTAGTTTATATAGCATTAATCATGTATAATTCTGTATCCGATTCATGAATTACAATTTGCCCTTTCACTGAAATGTTCAGATTAGCAAATTATGATTCATTATCAATGGTTCAATGCAACAGATTGACAATATGTCAAAACAAAATCTAGTTTTCTTCCCTAAATCTTGCAGTTGGTAAAGGAAGTTGAGCTAACTTTGCTCGGTGATTTGGGTCAAGATCGGTTGGTATTTTTAAGAACAAGATTTATTATGAGTTCCAAGGATTAGCCCGACGATCTTAAGGGGGGCCTTTGATGGGCCAACACTGATGACAAATGGGTCAGTCTTTAAAGATTCTAGTCCAAGATAGCTTACGTGAGTGCAAGTCCTTCTCGGTTCCCTCCATCACCAATGGTTATATAGATCGGCCCACATGGGTCAGCCTTCTTGTTGTAAATCCTAGTCTGCGACAAATAGAAAACAAATCAAATATAATTAGTAGTCATTTTGTATTGTAGCATTTTCTTATACTCCAGAATATTTCATTATATATTCCGAATTTTACCAATATTAAAGTTTGCATGTAAGCAAAATAAAACATAAAAAAAAAGTAAAGTGACTTACAAATCGTTCATATGCATGAACATGGCCAGCAAAAACAACATCAACTCTTGCCTCATACAACAAATCTTCCATAGCTTTTCTCATGCTTTCTCCTTCTCCTTTATGAGCCGAGTTAGTATTATACCATGGTGCATGCAAAAGCATTATAACCCATGGCGTCTTCTCCCTATCAACCTTAGCCAAATCAGCTTCAAGCCACTTGTATTGGTCTGAATTCTCATCAAAATCGGTGTAAGACCCTAACATTATTATATGGGAACCAGCGACATCAAATGAATAATACAAATTTGAAGTCGATCCACTTTCTTCATATGGCATTAGCCAACGAGCATTGTAGGCTTGGAAACCATGAGGGTAGATTATTGGGAAAATCTCGATCTCATGGTTCCCTTCCGTGACCATCCAGGGACGGCGGCTAGCATATGGCTCGACCAGGCGGCCAAATGAGTCCCATAGCGGTTGTTGTGCATCTGCATAAGATAGGTCACCTGGTAACAGGAATACATCGTAGTCCTTGCTATCAACATGTGCTAAAGTTGATGCAGTCCATTCTGTCTGTCCAAGATCGCCTGTACACAAATTAAAGCTGGTGGTCAGAAATGTTCATTTTCAGCATAATTTTGTTTGTGATAAAAAACCATGCAAGGTCCAATCATCTGTTCTTTCATGATTAGACGTTTTAAGGGTAAATTAATGGGATTAATGTGATATATTAAGCGATTTTTAAAATTTTTTTCATATTTCCAACACAATGTACTTTTGCTATATATGTTAAAAAAGATGAAGGGATTATAATTTTATAGGGGGACTTGGATTCTGCAAAGCATAGAATTCGTCTCCAGATAAGTATTCTTAAAAAAGTTGTTGCTTTTAGGTTCCTTTCTCTGATGGGCCTCACAAATTTTCTTCCTATATTTGTATATAGCAGCTAGTACTGTTAAAAAAATTATATATTTTTTTGGATATACAGGAAGCCATAGCCTTAAGATACAAGAAATTATTACAAGTTTTAAGATTTAAATCTAAGATTTAATGGATGTTATTTTTTAAATATAATTATATATGAACTAATTGAACTAAATTCCAGATTAAAAAATTCACATATTTAGTGATAAGATAAGGTATATATGTTTCTTGGTTTGTACCCATAAAAGTTCACCCAAACAAGCCAAGCCATAAACATCAGGTTTCCAAGTTATGCAGCAAACGTACGAGAAACAGGGTTCCTAAGCTATGTATACTAAATTCTAAATTTTCTAGGCTGTGTAACTAACAATGTAAAAAGTGTGCACTTTTGGTTTTCCTTCATGGGGACTTAGCGTTTCCTTAAAGCATCAACCCACTTAGCCGACTTTCTATAGAAAACAGACAGAAGCACTTGGATATCCTATATATGAAACTAAGAAAGCTTAAAAAAAAAAAAAACTGGGTTAACCAGTTATTTTCCCTCTATTAAAATGATTAATCAAGATTCGATTGCAGTCTGATTTGTCGTTATTAAGAATAACTGCATTCCATATTGCTTTATATGAATTATTCATTTTACCATATTGATTGATGCATTGTTAAAGCTACTTACCAACCACAACAAATTCAATCGGAAAAGTTGGTGGAGGTGTCTTGAAGGAAAATTCAGGGCCATGGCCACCACACCTATAGTAATAAGTTGTTCCTGGCTCCAAGGGTCCAATCGTAACATGATGTATCTTCCCGGAACTGTAAAAGAAGTAATGATACGAAGTATGCTCTCCTTCGGCCATGGCATTATATTTTCCGGAAATCTTCCCATAGTCTACCTTTGATGGCACACCTTTATCCTCTGTAATCCAAGTGATTCTCATGTAATCTTTGCCTACAAGAGAAATATGTACCTACAATAATTGACAAAAAAGAGGAAATTAATATATATTTCAAGGACTGAATTGGGATATTGGTTTTTATTTTTGAAAGAAAGAGGATAAGAAAACAGTGGTTCCAAAACGACCTGTTGAGGGTCTGATTGGGAACGGTGATGTGGAGTCACGACAACTTTTCCAGGAGGCTGTCGAATGTAATCGTCTTGTAATGCAAGAGAGGTTTTGTAAGGAAACGTAGAGAAGAAGAAGATTGTTAAAAGGAGAGGGAAGAAATGCTTCTGCCATTGCTTTTTCTCCATCTTTGATGCTGCAAAGTACCTGAACGGAGCTGGAGTTTTATAGTAAAAATGAATCCTTGGAGCTTGTTGAAGATTCAAAAAATGTAAAAAATTAGATTTCAATGGCGTCAAGTAAGTCAATTGGAATATTTTTGGATATGATTGCATCAGTGAAAACATTTAAAAATAAAAAATAAAAAAAATAATTTGCCTTTGCCTCCCAAATTTGCTTGAGAGAATGAAAGTTAGAAAGAAATGATGCAAAACTATTCCTTTTGAAAAGATAAGATAGGTGAAGTTCTGACTATTTTTGTTGAATATACCATTTTTTTCTTTACAATAAAGTAATTGACCAACTATTTCTTGAAAAATACGCCCCAATCATTTAACTCACTGGAAAGATTTTCCTAGTTGGAATACGATGTTTTATGTCTATTGTGTACAGTATACGAAAAGGGTTGTTTAATTTTAACTTTTCGAAACTTTGAGGTAAGCATTAGTCTAAATGATTCATTTGTTTCTTTTAAAAGGAGAATTCTCATAAACTTGCAAATTTTTCTTTCAAATTCTCCTCAATAAGCTTTGGTTTTCTTTATATAAAAAAAAAAATTCAAGATTTACAAAATTTTCATTCTCGAAGAAATATATTACTATTAAAACTACTTATTGCAAAAGTTAAACTGCACAGCTGGAGAATCTTAAATTTCTAGTTTTTTTTTTTTTTTCTGACTTTACCTACCGAGGACTGCACGAATCAAAGCGAAATCAATCGCTGAGTAGGTTTGGCCAGTTACGTTTTAAAGATGACCAAATTTTCTTTGAATTTTAATTTAAGAGCGATAGTGGACATCGGACCAGCCGCTTAATCACATGGTTGATGTTTCGGAGTCTAAAGAAATTTGGAAGTTGAATCAAAACTTAATCAAGTTCACAAGTAAATACTGGAATATGCTAAGCATCTACTTGCTAAATACCGAGAACATATAAAAGAATCTGCCTCCAATTATCCGACAGTGGACCACTTAGATGTCTGTTCTTTTGTGAGAAATTTGTCGATTAATGATTGGTTTTCATGAATTAAGTCGTAATCAATGATCTAAGATGATATTCCTGCTAATCCAATGAAAATGTAGCAAGGAATTCAAAAGCTTTGCAATTGATCATTGGTCATGTCTATTGATTTAGTTGACTTTTTCTTTTTTGTATTTGAAGTTGTTGTTGATTAAATCTGATAATTCAGATTAAGAGTTTAATACTTTATTAATAGATCATGAATATTGATGATTTAATTCACTTTTTGAACTAAAATTCCATTAAAAATTAAAAAAAAAAAGATGAACTTTGATCATCACATACAATTTAATTGACTTTAGCAGGGAAATGATGTGTTTTTGAAAAGATTGAAATTATTGGAGCTCAAGTATGAAGTCATAGTCCAAAGATGTAATGCTTCCTTGCAGCCTAAAAACTCCAAGGTCGCAAGAAAAAGCATTGGAATAAATAATAAGCCAAAATTATGCTAAAATTATTAATCGCTACATATAAACAAATAGTCAAACTTTTAATTAAGAGTCTAGCATGGTAAAAGGCTTCAGTTGATTGGCATTATGTTTGGATATAAAACAGTGGTTTGAAAAATCATAGTTAAAATGTCATTGTTCTTCTTCAAATATTTAGTTGGGATAAAAAAATTTTAATCTATTTACCATTGTAGTATGGTAAAATTAATGTAAGTAAAATTTATACACTTCCATGGATTTCAAGTTTCAAGTTACAATTCCAAGTGATATGATATGACAAAAGCAATATTAATTTTTTTCTTTCGCTAGACAAAAAATATCATGATTCAATGAGTATATACATATGTATATATGTGCATGGGTGAGCACGCATGATTATCATCAAATTAAATTAAAAAATATCGTTCGGATAAAAGCGTTGTTAATATGTTAGCAAAGGAATGAGTCTCCACAACTAGTATACTTGTCAGGCAAGAAACAATCTAGCCAGATTAAGCCGCATTAATTTTTCTCAAGGGAAAAACGATAATAATATAATTAATTAAGACAATAAAGTTTAATTAAGTAAGCTTCTTTAATTTGTTAAAATGATCATAGATGATGATATTTTCGTAATTTATAAGTTATGATAATTTAAGAAAGTGTTGATGATGTAAAGTTTGAAATTAGGAAAAGAAAAAAGAAAATTTACAAACTAAATGAAATTAGAAGTGAAAAAAATTTTTTTTTTCCAAACATCAATTTAATTTGCTATTAACTTTGACATCAAAAGATAGGAAAGCAATGTGTTTCATCTTGGAATGTTGAATATTGATGAATTTTGAAACACTCAATAATATTGTAGGCTTATTAAAAACTTGTACTCTTATATGTAATTGAGTCATGAATCATGAAAAATGTGTTTTAGAGTATTGAAATGATAAAGCACATAAAGGATATCATTTTTTTTTTTACAAATAAAGTCATAATTTTAAAAAAAATGTTGCAAGTGATCGAATTTGAAAAGATATCACTTTTATAATTTTACACCAACTTTTTTTATTTAGTAATTAATTTTATGTTTTTGACCTAACTAAATGTCCAATTTCCCTTTGTATCATATTTAAATGATGCTTCATGAAGAACTTCCTGAAAAAAGCATTCTTTTGGAACAAGTTAAACAGTCCCATTAAAACTCTATCATTAAATTAATGAAAATTGTGTAGTCCAAAAGTGATTAACTACGCCCAATACCCAATTTTACCCCTTCAAAGTCGAATTAATGTTTCAATTACTCATGGAATTATTGATCTCTTTGGCAATTTCAATTAGGGCTGTTGGGAGTGACAAAATGCTATAGCTAGAAGTAGTACTCGATCAAATTAACTTAGAAAAGGGTTTTGAAATATAATACAGAAGGAAAAGTTGAGAAATTTTAATAAAAAAAAATGAATTAATGTTATAAATGATTTTTAAATTATAATGAAATATTTAATATGATACTTAAATTTTAAAATTTTTTAATATAATACTTAAATTATGAATATGTAATTATGAGATACTCATTTTTAATGTAATTAATTTTAAATTATGATATATAATTAATAAATAATATTTTAAATATAATATTAATTAATATATTTATAATTCAGATATTACATTTAAATTCATGTATCACATTTAATATTTTATTATAATTCAAAATCATTCATAATATTAACCTCTAAAAAAATAAGAAAAATAAAATTTTATGTTACATTTTATAGTCTCTCATTGTTTCCCACCCCTTTTCCTTAATTATAGAAATCTACAAAATTATCATCAATTAAGGAACGGATAAAAAAAGGAAAGAAATCTACACAAATTTAAGTGTTGAAAAATTATGTGATATTTGCAAATACCATATGACTTATTAATAGAATGCTTAAACCATTGGTTCAATTTCTATATATTCTCTTCAAAATGACTAGTTAAGGCAATTAAGCATACGTAATCGAAAACCTATGCTATCTTTTTCAGCTATACATTGTCGTGTTCACAATGGATGTCAGACAACTTTGCATTTGAAGTACATCCATACTCTCTTTTTAAGTACATTTACCTTTCGTTTAAATAGAAATACGATATAAAGAGTAGTATTATATCCAAGAAAATTTAGAAGAATTCCTATGTTGTAGAGACGGTTAAACAAACTAAAGAAGTGCAGAATGAAGGAAATAAATTCCTAAAAAAGGAAAATTTTCCACATATATAATTAAAGTCTGGAATAGGGTTGTCTCTTAAAAAAATAAGTACTAAAAATAGGGTTGGGGCACAATCTCTGAGTTTAGCTTTAAAACTGGCAAGATGGAAAAGCCTGGTCAAAATATTGAACGCAAACCAATCACCGGAAACAATTAATGACAGAAGCATGCAAACCAAGCCAATGTAAAAATAGAAAAAAGGTAATAAGAAATTACCAAGTATTAAATCAAAATTTCATACTTAAAAAAAATTAAATACGCATTTTTTAAAATTTTCATATATATTATATGTATCAAGAATATTTATATATATATATATATATATTCGTGTCGACATATATTTCTTCTTTTAGGTATCAAATATGATAGGTAATCCATGATATGATACGATTCGATATAATATAAGTCATGTTTAACATGATTCATTGTTAAGTAATTGGGTTGGTCAAACATAATACATATATGTGTTATGTTAGACTAAAGATTTTAGGTTCATGGATCAGTAAAACACAACACATTTTTAAGTTCATGGATAAGCAAAACATAGACACATTAAAAGCCAATGCTAGTGTCACACCTTGTGCGGGCGCACCAGGCACACCAGTCGCACCAGCACGCACATCTGAGGTTTAGGCTCGTGCACCAGAAGCACTGACGAGGGTTTGCGCACTAGACCTTGGAGAGGAGTCCAGGCCGCTCGCACAACATGCAAGCTAGCTTGCAAGACGCCCGCATCACATCAAGAAAGGCCCAAAAGGGGACGTGTGCAAGGAGATTTTCTAAAAGCGCACAAGATCAACAGGAGTTTTTTGACAGATTTGGTTAATCCTAAAAATCAGAGAGCAAAATCCTAATTGAATGTAATCTGTGTAATACTTGATTGATTGTAATTCTTTGAATCTTGAGATTTAGACATAAGTGTAGCTGGAGGCCTCAACTATAAATAAAGGGTCACCTTACCCTCCTTTGTACACCATCATACACATTTTTCACTTCGGTAAAATATAGAGCATTCCAACAATTCTCTTGCTCTTCTGTTTCTTTCAAACTTGAGCATTCTGTCTTTCTTATTATTCTAGTAATCGCACGTTTGTGTTTTAAGTAGACTTAGGCTAGAAGGAGCTAATTCCAAGCCTAAAGTTGCACAGATTCTAAGTCTAAAGTCAGAGCCCGTGATAGTTGGTATCAGAATCAGTCTTAAACCGTTTGATCCATGCCAAACGCCTCGAAGGAGATAGGTAGAGTGGCCAACTTTCAGGACGAGGGCAAGAGGTTAGGTGGAAAAGAATGTCACAGACCTAAAGAGGAGTCCTGAATCCCACATCGAACATAAAAGGAGGGTCCCTGGGATATATAAGGGTTTACATCGCCTTTCCCTTATGAGGTGTCTTTTGTAAGACAAAATCGTGAAGTCAGAGGGGTCAGAGCAAATAATATCTCACAAGGATGTAAATCGTGACGGTCAGACTGATATGAGATACTGGATGAATGAATGCCCAGGTCTTGAAGCTGTGTAGATTGGAGCTTAAGTCTCGGTTCGTGACACTAACACGTGACACGTGAGTTCGCAAAGCATGACACATAAGCCCAATCATGCCATATTAACCCATAATTGTAATAAGTAGGCTCCTAAACTTTGAGTATATTTATATTAATTTTTATATTCCAATGAAATTATTTTTATTTTTGATATTTTGTTGGCAATTTATAGAATAAAATTATATTAAAATTATTTATTAAATATTTAAATGATTAATAGATAAATTATATTTAACTAATGATTATCAAAAGTAAAATGATAAAATAAATTAAGATTTCAAGTTAACTACAAATTTAATCAATAAAGTAAATTGCTATTGGATGAAAAGTATAAAATAAATTTACAAAACAACATATTATATAAGGGAATCAATAGATGATGAAAAATAAAATAATAATATTATGTTTTATAATATTTATATATATATATATGTGCGTGTATTTTTTAAAATATTAAGATTATAATTTTAATATTTTTATTTAGTAAATTTTTTTAGCCCATTTTGTAAATATAAACATTTTGTGGAATCATGTAAACTATATGTCATTTTTATATAATTTTACTTCATTTATCTTCACGTATTATTTTTAATGATAAATAATTTTCTTTTAAAAAATAATTAAAATTTTTAAAAATTTATTAATAAATTGTGCTTGCTATATCCGCATGAAAAGCAGTGCCATGCTTGGCAAAACACAACCCATAAAAGTTGCAGGATATATACCGTGCTGAGCTTTACTCTTAGCCTTTATCATCGTGCTATCACGATACATTAAAAATAGTGTTGAGGAAACAATCCATTAACAAATGAACTAATAGTTAAATGGTGTGCCGAAGCAGCTCAGCAGTTGACACCTCTATTGTCCCATATGTCTAGGCAGATTGCTTTCTATTTTTTTTTCAACGTCCAATGTCGGCATCTGATGTTATAAAATGACGACAAACAGCTACAAAAATGCCCCAATCCAATTAACCATTTCATACGAGGAACCATACTAGGAAAAAGATCATTAAGTAAAATTCTTATAGCTAGCTGCCCTCCCTCTGTGTTTTGATCGTCTTGTTCTTGGTGTATATTCATTATTTAGCTAACCGGCCATGGCTGCTATTAAAGGGCCCGTTCTAGTTTTTGTATTAGCCATGGCCTTTGGCTGCGTTGTTTGCTATGATCGTCCCGTTGCTCGCAAGGACGTTTCCATCCCTCAACCAAAAGAGCTTTCCCCAACTTCTCCTCAACAGGTAATCATTTTGAGATTATTTTTTATGCCAATTTTCATAGCTTCTTTTACCTGCTTTCATTGAATTCCCATTTTTCTTCATAGGAGATTGCTCATTCTGTTCATGTGGTTGGAAAAAGAGAAAAACTGGATGATTAAAAATATATCAAATTAATCCTGTTTTATCTCAATTCTCTGGGTTTTATTTTCTTCTTTTAGTTTTTCCAATTTCGTATAGGAGCGAAACTTATGGGGTGCAAATGCAATTGCGTGAACAACGTGACCAGCCGATCTCATATTCAATACTTTTTGAATCGACTACGCCTTTACTCTTCCACGTTTGAACCGATTATGGTATATATCAGTTACCAATTATTTCGAGTTTCGGTTGACTAACCAAGCGAAGAATCCGAGCGAATATTTACTCCCCTGGAAACTTTAGAAATCTGTTAATGAGAGAAGATAGATTCATTTGCCTGTAAGGAGTACTGCAATAATATTGCAAGCTTGCATTTGAATGGGGCTTTAGACTGTGTGATTAGATAACCAAATCTGCATTATTTCCCAGTTCTCAAAACCCAGGAAAACGTAAACTCTTTTTTCTGGTAATCCGTTAATTTCAATGGTGGAATTAATTTCTTTGCTATCTAGAAATTATTTGATGATGAAATAAATGAGGACAACTTAGAACCCATTAAGTCAAAGTGGTTGGCCAGAGTCGTGACTAAAATGACATGTCTCTTGGACTGCTGGAGGTAATGGTAGAGATTTTTTTTTTTCAATTAAATGACGTTGGATTGCTCATTATAAGTTGTCTTCTTCCTCTCGGTGAGTATTTCATGCCATTTTTTGTCATTACATACGCACATCAGACAGCTACTGGTATGGAACAGTCGCCAATTCTGTTTTCTTTCCGTTTGCTTTCTATTATGCATATGCAGTCGCCCCTTCGCTCTTCCCCAAATAAGGGTAAAGACAAGAAAAAAAAACATAGACACACTTAAATTTATTGACACAACTTTTTTCCTATAATAAATGACTAACAAATTTGATTACTTATGCCCATCAAATAGTTAGACATATTTTTATTGTAGATAGAATCTTTTATGTATATATATACATACTTGCTTTAAATTAATCTATAGGGTTAAAGATCTATATTGTATACACAATATTTATATTCTTTTTATATATGATATTTATTCAAATTTGCACATTAATTCCTCTTGAACACTAACTCTTTTTCTCTCTTAATTGTCAATGATTAATTTTTTTAATGGTATATTGCCGTTGCAGGTGCATGCATCTGTTGTTGGTGCTGATAAAATGAGGATATCTTGGATTACCGAAGGCTCAGCTCCAGCAATAGTAGAATACGATACATCTCCAGGGTCATATTCAAAATCTGCAACTGGAAGTACATCTTCCTATCGTTACCTTACGTATAAATCTGGTAAAATTCATGATGTTGTCATTGGTCCATTGAATCCGAACACGGTTTATTACTATCGTTGCAGCTCGGATTCAACCCGTGAATTCAGTCTCAAAACCCCTCCAGCTCTTCTTCCAATTAAATTCGCTATCGTAGGTAATGTAACAGTTCAATACATGAGAAAATCTATGTCATGTAATTGGTCAGTTTTTTTTTTCTCTATTTTTAAACAAACCTTGCAAAAAAGAGAAACCTGAATTTTAATTATCTCTACATATATACAAGGTGATCTTGGACAGACAGGATGGACAAACACAACACTCGAACACATAAGACAATCGAATTACGACATGTTGTTGCTGCCAGGGGACTTGTCGTATGCTGATTTTATACAACCTCTTTGGGATTCATTTGGCCGCTTGGTCGAGCCACTGGCTAGCCAACGACCCTGGATGGTCACACAAGGGAACCACGAACTAGAAAGGATCCCTGTCATCCATTCTACACCCTTCACATCCTACAATGCAAGATGGCACATGCCATTCGAGGAAAGCGGTTCCAGTTCCAACTTGTATTATTCCTTTGATGTTACGGGGGTCCATGTTATCATGCTGGGCTCTTACACTGATTTTGATCCTGCTTCGGATCAATTCAAGTGGCTACAAGATGATTTGGGGAAGATTGACAGGGGAAAAACTCCATGGATAATGGCGATTATCCATGCACCCTGGTACAACACCAATACCGCTCACCAAGGGGAGCCTGAATCAACTCTTATGAAGAAGTTCATGGAAGAATTACTTTATAAAGCTCGTGTCGATTTTGTATTTGCTGGGCATGTACATGCTTATGAACGCTTTGTAAGCTTCCTCATTCTTCGTCATCATCTTCAATTTTTGTCATTTTCGATCTTTTATTGAAGTACACTTATTATTTGCTTCTTTGTCCCTTTCAATGTCAAGACTCGTGTTTACGATGGAAACGTTGATAATTGCGCTCCGGTGCACATCACAATTGGGGACGGTGGCAACCGAGAAGGGCTAGCTAGCAAGTGAGTCGGTTTCACAAAGATGAACAGAGTTTTTTTTTTTTTTTGCTCTAACCTCTTATAAAATATTGTGAATGCTGGTCAATTCTAATCCAGCTAATGGAATCTATAAAATTTGTCAAGGCATACATTGTTAAAATCGGTAAATTACAACTCAAAATTCTTCAAATTTATGACCTTTTATTATGTATCTGAAAGTTTCATATCACCATCCAACAAATTAGATACATGTATGATCCAAAGTTTTACAAAATCAGATTCACTTATTGTTCCCTCTTTCATTAGAGTGAACCAATCGAACAGTTTAAATTTGTTTCAGGTTTGCAATCTAATAGTTTCCATCAATTAATCTTGTTCAGGTACATGTATCCGACACCTGAAATGTCAATATTCAGGGAAGCCAGCTTCGGGCACGGACAACTTGAGGTGTTCAACGCAACCCATGCTCTCTGGACATGGCATAGGAACGACGATGATGTTTCAGTTGTTGCAGACACAGTTTGGTTTACAAGCCTCTCATCCGATCCCGCTTGTAAACTGTAAAGCGTATTTGTATCTTAGAAACTTAAAATTGATTCAATGATACAATTGGAAAAAAGAAAGAAAATGTAGAACCGTAGGACAATGTAATAAAAAGAAGAGGTCATGGAGATTGAAAAATGAATAGAAATATATAGTTTCTATATAATGTTTTTCTTGAAAGATTATTCTCTACATTGGTTGAAATTTTTAATGGTTTTTTTTTTTTTATGCTTACATGTTTATTTAATTAGTTATAAACAAAAAACAAATCAATAAAACATTATTAATTATTGTGATAATCTTGAGTCAATCATATCATATAATTGCCATATTTATCCAATTATAATAAAAAAATTATATAGACAAAGCGAAGCTAGAGTCTGACACTGACAAGAAACATGCCGGTTGGGGCGGGGGAGGCTTGATCCTAGGTATCTTGGACGCTTGGATTGGACCTGTCTTCTTCGCGCAGGTGCTGTCATTTTAGTCACGTTATGAGTGGGTGCCATTTGCTCACACGGTTGCAAAATTAGATTGTGAGATACCATCACTGTAAGGTCGGGTAGTTAAGGGCTTTTTATTTAAGAATTATTTCATTTACATTTTTTTAATTATTATAATTTTATAATTGTCTAATTATAATTCAAAAATATGTAGAGATTTAACACTTATAAATGTAATATTTATGTAAAATTTTAATAGTTCTTACATAATTTTTAATTATGATTAATTAATTATAACAATAAATTCAATAAATTATTAACACTTTATTTTTAAAATTTATAGTCTTAAGTTGGCCAATTTGAAATGAAATTTTTTGAAAGCTGATTTTTTAAAGGTTATGTAACTTATACTTTTTTTTAAAAGTTATTTGTTTGATTAATTTTATTCCATCATTTGTGTATGAAGTACTAATTTCACCATTTAAAGATGAGTTTATGATTTCTTAAAAAAATTAATGCTTTTTTATATAATGACATTTGTTGTTTAATTCAAATTTAAAAATCTTTTTACTAGACTTTGTTTAATGAAAAAAGTTCACATTATGTCTATTTGTCTATCTCGATCCACCACTTATATAAATGTGGGTTATGTATAAATTTTTTTTATAATTTATAATTTTAAATTATAAATAATTAATTAAAGTAAAATAATTGTGGGTGATATGCTTAAAATTTTTCCTTTTATATTTGCAGTGATAAACTTTGTTTATTTTCCAAATCAGCATGAGTTCTTATGTTATAAAATCAATTCAATCAGAAACAGACAAAGATGTATTAAGGTTCAAATTAATTTAGAGTCAAGCTCAATTAGAACCTTAATTATAGGGCTGTCAATTCATTAAGATAGTAGTAATTGATGGTTTTGTTCGAGGAAATTTACCAAAAACTATCAAAAAAATAAAATAAAATAAAATCTTAAAAGATGAATAAATATAAATATATGTTTAGTTGTGATTTAAAAAATAAAAAATAAAAATGGCAAACTTTTGATTTTGAAAAATATTAATGTATCTAAAAATATTCAAAAATATAGTACATAAGTTTCGTTTGGTTCATATTTTTTTTATTTTGAAAGACATAGACAGCTGCTTTTGAGTAACTCAATTGGTTAATGCATATTTTTAATTCAAAGAGTTAAATTGGGATATCTCATTTTTAATATAAAAAAAAAAAAACATAAAATTAAAAAAAGGAATGGGCAAAATTGTGTCGATCCAACCGGGCTTGAGCCCAAATCGTGCGGAACAGTGGCCCTTAGCTTTGAGATTCGGGCCCATAAAAAGCTTCAGGTCCACTATTTCATTGTTTTTTTCTTATTTTCTTTAACCTTGGTAAAAGGACAAGAAATTTGAAAAAAAAAAAGAAAAAAGAAAAAAAGAGGGAAAGTCCGCATTTTTCCGTAGCATTGTTTCCGGTTAGTGGAGGAGGCTGTCCGATATGGAATTCGAGCTCTCCGATCGTCATCATCACCTGCGGAGCTAGGTTATTTATTTTCCCGATCAGTAATGGCTTATTCCCCAAATTCCTCAGAGAAACATGTAGTAGCTCGTCGAGTCCTCGATCTTCTCCGATACAACTCCTTTCATTGATCCCTTCAAAGGTACTCTTCTTTTCAAGCTTTTTCCATTGTTCAAGAGTTAGCCAGTGAATTAGTAGTAGATTGTGGTATCAATGTGCACATTCAAGCATAAAATGGAAGATTTTGGTTGATCAAATTAAAAAAAAAAAAAGAAAATTTTAGTGTTCTCCAAATGTTATATAAGCCAAAGAATCTCTGCCTATTGTTCTTGTTCTCTGAGGAATTCTTTGGTGAGCAATTGCTAATGGGAAAACTAGGTTCATTTCGTTTTTTGCTACCCTTTGTTTGGATTTGATGCATTACTTTCTAAATTTAGTGGCATATCGGATGAATTAGCTTTTAGTGTGCTTTTGTTGTTTTCACCAAAAGGTTCGTTAGGCTTAAGATAATTTATATTTCCTTGAAAATTCAACTATTTTACTCCGGGTTGCAATGACCCTCATAGCATTGAGTATGAAAAACGATTACAGATGTAGTATCTTCTAAAAGTTGTGAAATATCCCCGTAGTGGTAACTATTTCTTAGATTTCAACTGGAGTATGATCCCTTTTGCATAACGTTAATTTCATTAAATTCCGTGAATTCTTTTTGTTGGTATAGAAGTTAACAGATCTCTTTTCTTCATCTTAGTCACAATGCGTCTCAGCTTATGATGGTAATTATAAATTAGATTCTAAGGCTTCATTTGGGAGCCCGATTAGAGGGCTCCCAGATCCAGATGGACTGTAAGTCAGTATGACCGAAAGTGTCTTAATAATTCTCATATTCATCACAGACTCTCTAGACATATATAAACCATGACTAGGTCGGTTGTTTGAAATCACAAAGAAACGCAGACTTCCTTGGGCCTCTCTGTGCTTGTAAGTGCAAGTGCAATCCCGTTTATTGTCAAGGAATTAGCTGCAAGCTAGATTTAGAGCCTCTCTGGATATCTCTCATCCATCTATCCATCCAAGAGGTTTTTACTGCATTTATCTAGTATACCATCTCCAAATGTACCAAGAAATATTGGGATTGTCAAAGGCCATTAATTGCTTTTCGTTTAGGACTGAGAAATCCGATCTCTTATAGGTGATTTTTTTTTCCAAATGCCTAAAACCATTGCAGATAAGCCTCCACAACTGTTAATGTTCTTCGGTTTTAACCAATCTATTAGAGTTAGTCACCACCCTACAAGAACTCTCCATTTTTTTGTCTTACGATCAGATTTTCACTGATGCAGCATTTTTCATAAAGGACTGCCCTGTCATACTTCTTTTTTATGTATTGCATATTCATTTTGCCCTTTTCTATGAGCCAAAAAGGCTTAAGAACTTAGTTTGCAGGTAAGTGCAACTGTAGATTTTAAGAATGGCTCGCAACTGGATACATTGGATAATTGTGAAAGTAATTATGGCTGCAGAACAATAATTTGCAGTTGACATCCCTAACAATGATGCCCAGAAAATTGTTACTACAGCTCATCTTATTGACTTTTTAGCAGCCTATCCACATGCCAAATGAGATTAGATTCCTTTCGTGGCTAGATGAAGTCTTGTTACCAACTTTGTTCTTTCCTCTCATGTAAATTGTAGGATTCATCAGTAGTATGTAATAATTTTGCCGAATTTGCCATGCCTCAAAAAATTTAAGCACTTCTCTTTTGCATTCATAACGATGGTTATTAAAGTCAAATGTGGTGCCTTTTCTTGTTTCTTTTAGCTGCGGCTATGATGTGAACTTGAGTCATTTTCTCAAGCGGCTGAAACAAATTTGGTCCTATGTGTTGTGGATAAAGCAGAAATATGTACATTGCCCCACCTGCATTATGGATAACGATCCATTATGGATGGCTTAGGCTGCGAATGAAGATTGCAGAAAGAAAGAAACTTCTGGTCTTGTTCATCTCTCATGGAACTATGGGGGGTTGGCCAGTGTCAAGTTGTCAAATAAAGTTGGTTTAACCAGATAATGCTAAAAATTTTCATTTTATTTTGAGTGATTCATTCATCAAAGCCTGATTCAAGCTGTGGAATTAAACCGGATGGAAATGAAGGATGAGAGGGTTCGATGGGTGCCTTAAATGCTGCTGGTGTGTGGGTCTCCGACAAGTACAATCGCCTACTCTAAAACTAGAATAATCAAAACCTAATGTTCACGTGTAGAGCTATAGATGAGTAGCCATACAGCGTGAGGAGGTACATAGCAAAGCCTGCCATTTTTAAATGCAGCCATGCTTCAGAGTTCATAGAGTAGAGCCCGTAAAAAGGTCCTATCGGAACCATATAATTAGTTATATACCCGTAATGTGACAAATTTCATACAAATGTGGATATTATCCATTTTTCTAAATACTTTATAACAAGTAAAATTTGATATATGCAACGTCCAAGTCGAATCGTCCATGGGCAAGATGATCTATAAAATGTCAAATCTACAAATAGCAGACATGACTCCGGCAGATCCAATAATAGATTCAAGATTTGATTTTTGATGTCCACTTATAATATGTATAAAAAATTTAATAAATTTATTAATTTTATTCCAAAAAAAAAAGGTGTCCAACATGTGGATCCGTCGGTAGCAAGGTTGGTGCCTTGATATTATTTTTTAATTCGAGTCCAACCATTTTAAATGTTTTATTATTAATTTTTTAAAAAATTATTTAAATAAATAATTTAAATTAAACATTTTTTTAATATTTTTCAATTCATTAAACCATGTTGAACTTTGTGTAAATTTTTGGAAGTGACAACTTGATCTGAAACAGACCTGTCCATCGGACAATTCTACGTCCATGTCTTTCATACAATTCCTGCCACCTTAACAAATTTTTTTTTATTTGATAGGTGGATTTTTAAACCATTGATTGATTGGAAGAAAAACTATGCAACAAAACTTTAATTAAACATTCTCTTTACATGATTTATATGTAATGAAATACTTGCTTTTATGTTTGATTAAAAGAATTAAAAAAAAAAAAAGTGTTGTTGCCAAACTTTGGTCTTTCGCCTATCCAAATTGCGGGATTCATCAGTAGCTTGTAATAATTTTGCCGAGGG